CCGCAGCCAAGGACTCGGCTAGCCTAGCCCAGCACCTAGCGCCGAGGCGCGAGGCCCGCCCACCAGCACGGAGCTGGGACAGAGGCAGGGAGCGTTCGCCCGGGAGGCGCCCTGACCCATATCCACGCTCTGTGGCCTATCGTGCACAGGGTACTGCTGCACTTTGCTCCTCAGCTGCAGGGGAGACACGTGATGGTGCGCTCAGACAACACCACAGTGGTCTCCTATCTGAACAAGCAGGGGGCACCAGGTCCCCCGCTCTCCATCGCATGGCGACGATGACGCTGCTGTGGGCGGCGCTTCACCTCCTGTCTCTCAGGGCGCGCCACGTCCCGGGGGTCCGGAACGTGGGGGCCGACAGGATGTCCAGGGGGGGCCCACTCCAGGACGAGTGGGGCCTGGCCCCACGGGTAGCTGCGGAGATCTGGCGGAGGTTCGGCCGTCCAGTGGTCGACCTTTTCGCCAGTGCAGAAAACGCACAGTGCCCGTCCTGGTTCGCCTTAAGGGCCGCGGACGAGCCGCTCTTAGGCGTGGATGCTCTGGCTCATTACCCCTGGCCAGAGGGCCTGCTGTACGCTTTCCCACCAGTGCGTCTCCTGCCGGTCCTGCTGCGGAAGATCGAATAGGAGAGGAGGTCGGTGATCCTGGTGGCTCCGGACAGTCCGCATGCCCGGTGGTGGTGATGGAGCCCTGGGCCCTCCCGGACGAGCCGGGGGCTCTAGTCCAGGGGGGGGGAGCCCTGTTTTCACACCCGATAATCGGCCGCAGGCTCTGGGTTTGGAGGCTGAGAGGCGGAACCTCGTAGACCTGGGTCTTCCCCCTGCGGTGGTGGAGACCATTCAGGGGGCGAGGGCGCCGTCCACTGTGAAGGCCTACGCCACGAGGTGGAGGCTCTTCAGCGACTGGTGCGGTTCCCGTTCCTGGGATCCCAGGCGTTGCCCGCTGGAGGGGGTCCTGGGATTCCTACAGGAGCTTTTTGACAAAGGGAGGGCTGTCGCCACCTTGGCGGTGTTCGCGGCAGCCATTACCTCGGGTCACGACGGATTCGGGGGGTTCACAGCCCGCTCTCATCCGTTGGTTAAACGTTTTCTGCGGGGGGCGCGCAGGAGGAGGCCCCCGCTCCAGAGAACGCCCCCGGTTTGGGACCTCAGGGTGGTCCTTAGGGGGCTGTCGGGTCCGCCTTTTGAACCGGCGGCGGAGGCAAGTCCCGAGTGTGTCGCCTTTAAGACGGCCCTCTTGCTGGCGTTGGCGTCTGCTAAGAGGGCGGGCGACTTGTGTGCGCTCTCTGTCCATGCGTCTTGCCTGTCCTTTGGAGAAGGCGACGGCATGGTGGAATTGTGGCCCAATCCGGCCTTTCTCCCCAAGGTCATCACGTCGGCCTTTAGGTCGAGAGTCATCAGGATTAGGGCTTTCTATCCGCCACCGCATGCCTCCCCGAGGAGGAGCGGCGGCACCTTCTGTGTCCTGTCAGAATGCTGAGGCATTACCTGGCCATGACGTCGTCATTCAGGTTGGGTGGTCAGCTGTTTGTGTGTCTGGGCCCCAAGAACAGGGGCGCCCCGCTGTCGGCTCAGCGGCTGGCGCACTGGGTCGCCACGGCTGTGCGGCGGGCGTATCAGACGCAGGGTCTGGCCCCCCGGTGGGCTTCAGGTCGCATTCCACGCGTGGGATGGCGGCCTCTACGGCCCTTCTCAGGGGGGCGTCGGTCGAGGACGTCTGCCGTGCGGCTTCTTGGGCCGTCGTCCTCTTCTTTCGTCCGGTCTTATCTTTTGGATGTGTCGGACCGGTCGGTGGCCCATTCCGTGCTGAGTGCAGCGGACTGAGTTAGACCGTTAGGTCCCTCCTCTGAGGGGGCCTTCGGTTGACTTTCCGCCCTGGTTCAGGAGCTCTTGGGAGAGGCGTCCTACAGGTGCGGTACTTCTTCTGCCCTGAGTCCTCTCACTGTGTGAGGGTCTTGCTCGGGCGGAGCTCCAATCACCCTTCGCTGGCCTGCCTGGAGTACATGTTCCTACGGCCTCCGCGTTGTGTCCCACTAGCGAAGTCCTAAGGGACGTAGCACCATGACGTAGAATTGATAGTTACCTAATGTAACTTAGGTTCTACGAATAGGTGCGTGGTCCCTTAGCCACGAGCCCATCAGGCCAGCCCGGCTTGGCAGAGTTCAAGATGGGGTGCGGCCATGTGCAGGGGCCTTTATAGAGGAGGGTGGCTGGTGATTGGAGCAAATTATTTTGATCTCTCTGGCGCGTGACCTGGGGGTCACGAGTGATATCCCACTAGCGAAGTCCTAAGGGACTAAGCACCTATTTGTAGAACTTAAGTTACATTAGGTAACTATTAATTATCAATACCACCATAAGATATTGAAGCTATATCTGTAATGTCATCTTTAGGGAGAAACAAACCCACAGATTACATATTAAAGCTACACAGAGGAAACAGTCCATGGAGACAGCAGCTGTAGTATGCTAACATGTAGTATGCTAACACTTATCTGTATTCATATTAAATAGATTGTGTATATCGTTTTTAATCCCATACTGAGACTGGGAATACTGTATATTTATTTACATTTACTGTATATATTTGGCTTATTATGAAGCACTTCATATAATAGTTTGATAAATGTGTAGAATGATTAAATAAAAGCACATTATACAGATGTGTCTTGTCATTAATAAAAGACATTTACAGATGAGTCTCAATTCCACAAAAACAGGTTTAAAGTGGTTAGCCACGCTTTTAAGTTTGTTAGTTGTGTGTATATTTCTATTATATTATTCTATTACTCAGTGTCTCTCTGTCCGCTGTGTACCTCTAATATTTAATACAGGAAGGATGTCTGTATTTAATTTTCTGGCGTCCATGTGTTAATATGGTTGTTCTTTTTCACAGCCTCTTACAGCAACAAAATCACATGCCATAGTTTCTCCAGCTTCACCTCCATCACCTCCTGCTTCACTGCGGATTTACAATATGAACTACAACAAACACATTTTTTGTTTTATTTAATCATCAGTCATGAATAGTTAGAACAGTGGGCTCTGCATCTCTGAAGACGAGGAGCAGCAGGAGCAACAGCAGTAGCAACAGGAGGAGCAGGAGCAAGAGCAACAGCAACAGCAGTGACAACAGGAGGGGCAGCAGGAGCAACTTCTGGGCGTCTGCCTCTGACAAAGGTCTCTACAGTGTGCGCTTCATAAAGAACCTGGAAATAAAAGATAAATCAAACATGTTGGCTTTATGATTTTGTGTCTGAAGTGTAAAGTGTCATGAAAAGTGAGGTATTATTTACACAGGTAAATATTTATCAGCAGTACTTATACTTCTAATTGAATACAAACTCATTGTGTCCCATTGACGCACAAATACGTCAAAGCAAATAGTAACGTCGTGTGCCATTGACGGATTAATCCGTCAATTGCCTTTTTCGCTATTTTCACGTTCCCAGATGTCTATTGTATCTAATATGTATGGGGATGACTTGAGACCATATTTTATCGAGCCAGCAGGTGGCAGCATTGCTCTCTGAATGGTTTGAAAACAGTTAGGTGCACATGTTGTGCCTCTTTTTTCTCAACTTTCTGGTGATTTCTGGTGATTTCAGTAAAACTTCCCTCTACTCGACGGAGGATTACAGGGGAACGAAAAAAGCTATAAACAAAATTCTTTTTGCTGAGGAAAGTAGACAGTCCATTCTTTTAGAATCTGGTGTCGGATTTCAGATAGTCATAGTACACAATATTCTGTGGGTCTTGAAAAATCAGTAAAAATCATCAGAAATGGCTGGCACTGTGGGAGTACCTGTTCTGAAATAGGCTGGCATTCAATGATAAACTCTAATCTCATTAGAACAGTGTGTTGCTTTTCAATACTTCATCTCCTGTGTTCAACTCCATTTTACAGATATAGATCCATGATTGTTCCTCTATCAGCAAACACACGTTATTACATTTAGGCCTGATACAAATTATTTTTGAGTGATGCACAAACGAGGGGCCATAACAAATAGATAATCATTTAATGCATATATGATTCATATATGTGCATTGTTACATAAATGTGATGTTTTGTGACATGAAACATCATTTTGTATAAGCGAATGATTACTGCTAATACCATTGTTATAACAGAGAAAGTCCGTTACAGAAGCCTCGTTTATGGGTTTTCATAATTAAGACTAATTAAGAATGTAAACATCAGGGGCGCTCAAAAATGTGCCCCTGCGTTCCGACGCCCTGTCCAGGGGCTGCAGCACTGCCCAACCCCCGCCGTGATGTGCATTTATTCATCAATACACTAACTAGTGTGACTGACTAAACTTAAATAAAACATGTTGGTTGTCACCGTTTGCGTAAGGCCGGTCATGTCTCTTCTAGTTTGACAGCCTAATTCCGTGTGGTTTAACTTAGTTTGTGTAGTGGGCGTGTCGTCTAGTGACATCACTTCAAGACATGCCACTGTCTTGCAGGCTGCAGACAGACACTCGAATAAACAGCAACATTCATGTTCATAGATAGCAGACAAAACATGAATTTGAGATGTGCGCACTTCCAGGTACGCTTCCGCAGAAGAACATGGGAACTTTCAACAAAGTAATTTGGTTCCTCTATACCAGGATATACTACCTGGTATAGGTAAAATCAACAAAGTTTAGTTCAGAAAGGTCTACTCAAAAAAAAAACTAACAGTATATTTCAGAAGAGAAATATACTGTCAAATATTCAAAAAGTATAGCCATTCAACTTAAGTTGGACATTATTTTGAACCAACTGACAAAGGAATGAGTGTAAAATACAACATACAATACAACATTTATTAACAGTGCGGGCTAACAAACAACCTTTACAAAATGATGCTTTTTGTATCAAAATATTTTTTCAACAATGTTATTTAAACAGTTTTAATGCAAACACATCAAAGCAACAATAGGTCAAGCAGTAGACTTTTCTAATTTAAATAGTAAATTGTTCAGCGGAGGCAGATCTGACAGTAGCGGTCTAGAACTGCTGTACGATGAGTTTCTTTTTCAGGTCATGGCTGAATTTGTTGGATCGAAACAGGTCGCTGTCGTAAAAGGCCGAGAGGTTGTGGATGCTGATCTGACGAGCCTAAAGACAGAGGAAAGGAAAGCATTTTAGTTCATGCTAGGATTAAATAGTGTCTTGGGAACATAATTGAATACTCAAAACAAAAAAACAATTTTGTCCCCAAAACTGATTTTTAGGGGACTTATAAAAACACATGACCAGATATTTTCTACTGAAGATATTTCACATTCATAAAACATGAAATGACAAAATAAATAGAAAGCCTGCTTTTAATAAGGCCCGAAAACCGAACTGGCGTAAGGGCCCGTTGCTTTCACAATGGTGAATTCAAGAGGTTGCAGTGAGTGACGGACGAGTCAAAAAAATCCTTAATATTCAAGATCAGTTCCATTTTGCCATTTTTGCATTTAGTTTGTTCTAGAGCTACAATATTTGGTACATGTATTTGTGAAAAACATGAAATTACAGCAGTAACGCTCCCTACAGAGTGAGCCAAAGTTGTAAGTTTTACATGGGCATAAAGAAATTTAGTTTTGTCAAAATGTTGGAAATTTTGCACCAAATTCTGACAATTTCAAATTTGCTACCGTTTACTCATACAAAGTTTGATTAGCACCAAACGTGAATGGGTTGTTCAACTCTTGGAACTAGATCAGAGAAAAGTGAAAAACATGACATCGTAGCATTAGCGCCCCCTACAGCGTGATCGAAAGAATTAGATGTACGCTTTGGCTTATCTAATTAGAGACGCAAGGAAGCTCCCATGATATTCAATGGAGACACAAACACACTCACTGATAATAGGCATTTATAATATTCGTTTTTTCCCATCAGGTCTGTATGCAGTTGGGGTGTACAACATGCCCCCTCGTTTGCGTGGTGCATCGATGGCCGTTGGTAAAGCACAAATCATCAACTGTTTCAGAGCTACTTAGATCTTGCAGCCATTCTCCAGCACATTCAAAAGTAATATCCCTTGTCCTCAAAGCTCTCCACTGGCTGCTGGTGTCCTACAGAATAAGCTTTAAAGTGGACATTGTGTTTTCAAATAATTGATTTTTACATCTAAATCATTAATTTGTGACCTATATAAAGCGTAACTGCAATGCCTGGGTCTGAGTCTCATTATTTGTAGCTCCACGGGCCTTCTACACCGTTTTTGAGGTGCGTCTGAGAGCAACCTGTTTTGGTGCCGTCTCTGTAAATGCAAATGAGGCGCTTTTGACCATGCCCCCATCCAGGTGACACAGGTTCAACCCCACCCCGAGCGGCCATTTTTGTAGTTACTAAGCACAGATACAATTATCTCATAGAAACTTCTCATTACATCGCAAACATGAAGCAGTCCTTCCTCATTGACTGAAAGCAAATGTTAAGTTTCACTCTTAGTCCAGTCTTATTATCGACATCTCTTTTTAGCTTTGGGATCCATGCGTACAGTCTATGATGCTCACACGCCAGTTTGTTTACAACAGTGGCCGCCTGGCGCGGGCCTACGTTGCAGGATATGACACACTAAGTTGACAGAAATGTTTAAATTGAATATTACTTATGCACAATTTTACAGCATTTAAAAACGTTAAGAACGTTTTTCCTTCTACAGAAGGAAAGAGACGCATTCGCCTCCGGAGCCGCAGGTTGCCGACTCTTAGTTTATACAGTATGTGGAAGCAAATACTGTAGAGGATCAGGATATGTGCAGTTTCAACAATAAAATAAAATGCAATAGTCTACATTACAAGAGGGTAATGAACATGTCTCAGAGTGAGGGAGGTGGACACAGACAACACTATTGTTTGTTACAGGGATGAGAATTGGTCAAAAAAGACTGAAATGCATATTGTCAGCCATTTGCTGGCTCTGAATCTGTTTAATTTGTTCACAACATATTACTTTTGGGCTCAAACATGAACTTTTAATGCAATGCAAAATGTAGGTATCAGAGCTTTAGTTAGGGTGTTTAATCGCGCTTCGAGAGGAGAGGGGAGACACGGACCGTTTCCTGCAGCAGTGCATTTATTGGGTGCACAGATTACTCAAAGACACGCATGGTCCTGTGTGCGTTTATGGGGTTGGGTACATGGCCACGTTGAGGCTGCGCGCTCAGCCACAACCACAACCCGGTGGAGCGGCTGCTCATTACAAAGCGGCCGCAGATGCCCCGGAACACTGCGGCCGCTGAGGTGGCGGAATCCCGTTCGAGTACATACAGCAGGTGCCCCCGCGGATACGCGCGCCCCGCTCGAACAATTCTCAACGGATTTACACTTCTCACAAACATGTGTTTTGTATGAGGCAGACAGACTGGCCCAAATATGGGCATCGCCCGGTACGCCCGATGGCCAGTCCAGCCCTGTTCGCTGGCATCCTTGAGCTTGGACTACAAATTCGAAGTGATGCACAGTAGAGGAGGGCTGGGCCGAAGTGTTTTGTTAGACGCCCATGCCCTTATATAGCAGTCTCGCTGCAAATACTGTGACGTAATAATTCTAAACACGTAATAGAGAATGGCAAAATCAGAACGGGTTGAAATATCTTACCTAAACAGAATATGAAGTGTTCTCTGCAACCCATGAAGAGACTGATTTCAACTTTTTTGCACTTCTAGAGGCTCCAACTACACAACATAAGGCATTTAATGGTACTTTCAGACCGGGACAGTCGTTGCGTCTGCGTTCAATGCAAAGTCAATGGGGAGGCGCGTTTCAGCGTCGCATTGCACGGACCTCTCGGCACACACGCACGGACCGCCCAGTAGAAACGCACGGACTTGGCGGGAAAGTCAAAGGGGAGGAGAAGGAGCGGAAAATGAACGCCCACAGGAGATGGATTCCGCTCAACTTTTCCTCGAGACGTTCGTGCAGCGACCAATCAGAGAGCACGCACACCACTGACGTAATCACGCCACTACACGGCGTATGTTTTCCCCATTGAGAGCCAGGAACCGGTCATTTAAACATGGAGGATCAAGCTGTGGATAGTCTCATTGTCGCTGTTAAACTTTCCAGAGTTGTGGAAAGTCTGCATTCCGGAATATAGCGACAGAGCAAAGAAAGATTCGGCATGGAAGGCCATTGCGCAGCAGCTCAACCTCCCTGGTAAGTTTTTTCAGTATCAGTGTAGTGAGGTGGGCGTGCTTGTGTTCGTGCGTCGTTTGGCAGTGTGCAAGCCTCTGCGTCTGAAAACTAGAGAATGCGCGTCTGGTGAGCTGGGCTGCTGCATTTCAGTGTTTTCGGTCTGAAAGCACCATAAGGCACAAAAAGTGGATTTTTCATGATATGTCCCCTTTAAAGGTTCCATATTATGTTTTTCTTCATGTTCTACAGTCCATCCTATGTACACGTGTGATACACCATAGAACACTAAAAACTTGAGATTATAGCCATCTCTTGCATAGAGGTGATGTCACCTCAACTAAAACAAGCTGATCCAGAGCAGAGTCTGCTCCTCTTTGAGCCCGCCTCCCCCCGCTCACGCTGCGAGTCGTTTATCTTTCGGTACACAGCCATTTCAGACCTGTGAATACACTTTTTCCAACAATGACAATCCATCACATCCAGCCCTATATCCTCGATCCACAATCGAACCCTAATTATTTAGTTTACGATGAGTTAGCGTCACTGTACTTACAGATTGAGGTTTAGTGTTAGCGTCTTTTATTGTGGGAATAACAGGTTTCCAGATCAGTGTTTGAGTAAGTCCAGTATCATGGTAACAGTAGTTCTGGAACAGTCTTAGCGAAGTGTCGCAGATGTACAGATTCATTAAAACAGAGGCAGATCCCCGTGAAATAAGTTGAGCCGCATTCTTCCTCTTCGGGCCAAATAGTACGTCAAATAATTACACCCAAAAACACATTTTCTCCAAGTCGACATGATCACTTTTAGTCGCTGACAAAAGCAGAAAAACAGTATAGCTCAATGTGGTGTCCGCGGGACCATACCATAAACATACGCTGGACTCGAAAGCTCGCTGTGCACGCTGATTCGCTGTTTCGATTTGTCAATCACCTCCTGGATTTTAGTATTATAATTATTTGTATAATTTTTTACAACAAACAGCATGACTATTGTGTATCGTTTTCCCTGTTTTTATTTAAGAACCATTTTAAATAAAATTAAAAACGAGTTTATGTGCGTCATATACATCAATGTAGAAATTGTCACAGGACCTGGGCGTTTCACTGCATCTCGAGGGTGAAAGAACGATCGCTGTCTAAAGCTTGAAGGAATCAATGAAAAAAACTACTCTGAGCATGTGTATGAAGGCCAAATAGCTCTGTAATAATGTTTAAAGCAGAGAAAACTAAAAGTCAAAAAGTATAATATGACTCCTTTAAGATACTGGTGCTAACATTCAGAGCACTGGCATGGTCAGGCTCCTCCTTATATCAGTGATCTGATCCAGCCTTATGCTCCCACCAGGGGTCTGAGGATCAGAACCTCAGATTATCAGAATGCACGCACTTCCGGACCAGAGTAGACCGGTCCTTCCAGGCTCCTGCACCTAAGCTCTGGAACAATCTTCCGCTCTCATTGAGTCTGTTGACTCAAAGGTCAGCAGAAAACATTTAGGCAAGCTTTTACTTTATTTTCTTGCGGCTGTTTTAAACCACCTGTTTTAAACACCAAGTTGACTCGGTCATTGTATTATAATTTTGTGTACGCATATTTTAAATTATATTTCAGCTTGTTTTTTATGACACTATACAATTTGTATTGTATTGTTTTTTATCAGTTTTTACATTGAAGCACTTTGTGGCCTTAGTCTGTGAAAGGTGCTGTATATATAAATCTTACTAGAATCAAAAACTCCAGGTCTAATGAGGGAGCAATATACAGTAAATATTTTAAGAATTCGAAAGTAAAAGTTTATCTTCCACAACAAGTATCCCTTAAATGTCAGCGAGTTACACTTTTGAGATAAAATTGCAGAAAAAAAGTGAATAAAACAAAATTTAAAAAACTGTCTTACAAGTTAGAGTCTGAATGGAAGAATGTGATCTACCCTTTCGCCTTTTAAAATCTGAAAATCCCACTAGGGCACGACTGGTCGACACACAGGTCTCTTTGGAGCCTACTGCAGCCTGGAGGGGCTGGATGGACGTAGCAAATAATCGAAAGAGGGCCAAATAACCTGACGGGTCCTCAATGCTCTGCTCTCAGCTCAAAGTAAGTGAGGCGTTTAAATTCAGTCTTTGGACATACCTTCTCCAGCAGGTCCTTCTCTGGCACCTCAATGGCATCGTTCTGCACACCATAGCGGTTCCTCTGATAGGCTGCCTGCTCTGCCACCAGCTGCTTCAGGATGAACAACAGAAGCTCGTTGTTATCTCTGCGGAAAGCCAGGTACCTTGCAAACGTCTGCAAGGAAAGTGGCAAGGTAAACTCAAGGCAAGTTCATGAACAATTTATTTTTAACAGCACAATTTATATTCAAGTCAACTCAGTTTGAACCGTCTGACCTCCTCCTGCTCTACTCGAGGTCAGACGTGTCTCTTGCCTGCTCCTGCTCTGCTTGCCCTGACTGTCTTTTTCCTGAGTTCTGCCTGCGTGTGCAACTTGAAAATGATGGAATTAATCAACTGGTCCCTCAATGCAATTGATACTATTTTTTCATCGCGTAAAGGCGGTTCTGGAGATGCCGCCTGTCCGGACGGTACGGCGGCTGCTGGGTACGTTTTTGACAACTGGCAGAAGTGGCACCCCATTTGTCTGGCGGAACTGTCCATCGAGGACATTGAGGATATATACATTTTTGGATTTATGGTAGCAGGGTTCCTCTTGATTGGATTTGGAGTTGGCCTGATTTACCGCAAAGTCGGAGGAATATCCACTCAGAAGATTTACGAGCGGAAAACAAGGGGAGTTTCCGTGAGCTGACCAGGGTCGCGGTCGAGTGTGCTGTTGGGACACAGAGGGCTATGGCACAGACTGAACATTCCCTTAGAGACCTGGGAGTGAGGTCTATGGAAGGACATAAGCGTTTGGAGGGATTGATTGAAGGACTTGGGCCTAATGGCGAACACTCGCACTGACGTGGTCAACTCTGGATAACGAACAGAAGGATCCAGTTCTAGTTAATTTGGACTTATTTGGTGTTAAAGTCTACACTGCCTTTGATTTGACCAGCTAAAGTGCTTTACAAATTCCCACAAGGCATATGTGTTGTTTTGTCTCCCACGTCCGCAGGCCCCTTTTCTCATCTTTGTCCTCATATTCCACCACATAGCCGGCCTTTCATGGCCGAAGAAGATGGACTCTCATAACTCAGACTATCAGTCACCAGTTGGTTGGCTCACCCGCTCCCTCTACATGTCTGCCTCTCTCTTTGTCTATGGTGGTCTTCCAGTCAGGCCAGTAAGGACTCTAGCTGCAGCTTTTCAAAAATACTGCAGTTGATTTAAAGCTCGTTTGGAGAGCCCAGTGAGACGTTAAAGTGGTCTACACTACTGGAGACAAACACATTAGTTAGAATCTACAAACTGTTTTGACCCTTTTCTGATTATGGCAATGTTTTATTGATTGCTCTAATCTGCTGATGTTACATATTTGGTGTGACTGTGGCTAAAAGAGACTGGAGGTGACAGATAATGATCAATTTTTGTGTTCATGTATTGTGTGAATGAGCCCCACCTTGCGCATGCTCCTCATGACGCTGAACTTCTGCGTGTCAATGAAGCTCTCCAGCATGACGCGGATGGCCATGTTCACGTCGTCCTCCACCACGTAGTCGCGCAGGTGCATCTTGGCGTGAGCCTCGGCCATTCGGATCATGGACTCGATGTGACGCACTGTGATAGGGATGCTGCCGGTGGCCTGTGGGGTGGGGGCAGTGATTGAATGGGTCACACTGAGGAACACGAGTGGAGAGTTATCAGGGTTGAGATGAACAACTACTGGTAGTTAGGGAATTGACTTTTCCAAAAATGGCAAGAAAATGGGACATTTATATTTTAGATATCACTCAAGAAGGTCTGAAGCTGTATTAAATCTCCCTCAGATGTCAAATGCGGCACCAGTTTTACGCAGTATTGAGAGATAAGATCAGGGATGTAATGATTAGTTTGATAATCAATATTGGTTATACATTTGACCCAAACCTGGAGAACTTCAAATCAAAGACTTGTTCCACAATGGGTCGTTTGATAAATGGAAATGTGTTAAAAAAAAAAAATCGAGTCCCGGCCCTACTTTTATCTAAATAGAAGCTTTGTAATTAATCGCATATAAATATTTGACCTGAGAACAGTGAGAAGTAATTTTTTCACATGGATTTTTAGTTTACCATTGAATAATGGCTGCTCCTAGTCCGCTGACGAACAGAAGTCGCTGCTCCTCCTCTTCACACAGAGTCCATTGCGCCATACACAGCGCTCATTCCCATCTCTAACTCACTGGGATTTAGACACCGCGAAAGTTGGTCTATGCTTGTAATGTACTTTTGAACAAAAAGTCACGGAGCCGAGTTGGTGCACCAGCGAGGAAGGTTCCGCGATGCAAAAACACATACAATTAAAATGCGTAAACAAATTTAACGCACTAATTTTTGTGGCGTTAATTATCGCATTAAAGTCCCGGCCCTAGTTAAAAGTAATTTTAACCGGTCAAAACCTCTTCTCAGTATGCCTTTGTAAGGTTCATCAAGCTACACAATTAAACTAAATGATTTCACAAAATGGGAAGGGATAGTTGCTACATTTAGTAGTGGATTTATGCTTACCACTTTTATCTTGATAAGTTTGTAAGCCTATATTTGTCTCATTTGAACACATTTTAGACAGAAGTATAGAAAACAATCACTAAAAGGTTTAGGGCTAAATAACATTTGACAGTTGATTTAAAGCTGCATTACCTCACTTTTGGTATTCATTACGAAAATTCAATCCATATCCATGCAATGCATTGGGATATACGTTCTTTTTAAGAAAAAGTAACGCAGATTTGTGCTGGCGTGTCATTTTATTTTAGATTGAGTTTTTGTGCAACAAGGAAGAGAATTTGTTTTGGGACCAGATCGTGACCAATCACAGCGGACCACTGGCCCCCACTTTCTTGAGAAAAGCTACAGGTCTTTGGTTAGCATGCACAGACAGCTGAGGAAAAAGAGCGGCGGCGGCTAAAAAAAAAAAAAAAAAAACTTCCCATGTCTTCGTTACCGGTTACTGCCAACTCAGCGAAACATTCATCCAAAAGAAAGTCTCGTTCCTCCGCGCTTCCTGGTTTTATCATTCTATGGTCACGCCATCCACGTTCAAATGTGCGATGCATATTGTGAGACGTGAGCTCCGTAAACGCATAAGCACTGGCTGAGTGTGGGGAGGGCGAGCAGAGAGCGGGCCAGCGCTCATTAAAAAAATTCACAAAGTGAGTCAGTGCAGCTTAAAGAAGTGCAGACATGAAGGTAAAAAATTAGAAAATAGTTCAAGTGTGATTTTTTTGCTAATGATTTCAATACGTGAAACTAATATATAAACTGGACATGTGTCACATGCAAAGTGACACCCAAGACTGATCATGGCTTAGTCAAATTCCCAAATCTTTAGTAGTTTGGCGTTTTCGGTATTAGTGGATAAAAAAATAAAAAATAAAGATTTAAATGTTTATATACCATAGATTCTTTTCTCAAGTCACTATAGATCCGAGCCACTTTGTCCTGGTCCATTTGATTCAGTTTAGGATGGACCTAAAAAGAAATAGAAATGTATCACACAAGCATGAATTATGTTTTGTTTCCCAAGATGCGTGTAAGAGATAGGTGTATGAGATATTTTGTGCAAGTTAGTAGAAATATGATGCATAATTTTGTTCGTTAACCCATTTAGGCCTAGCCTGATTGCACCACACCATTGTACAAATTGTGTATGCGCCCGAGTGACTCGCTAGCATTTAGCTTAAAGACCTTATGACGGGTTTGATTTATTTAGAATTACAGTTTTAATACCATTTTATATTAGAAGAGAACTACTAAAGGTTTCAAAATCAGTTGTTTTTTTTGTCTGATCCCCCAAATCGAAATAACCCCATAGCAACGCCCTTAGAAACGAAAAAACTTCACAGCCCTTGGTGACGTCAGAACGGGTACGTTTCAACGCTGTAAGTTGTTTACAATTTGGTATTCGTTCATTTTTCGCGGATATTCAAGATGACAAGGCTGTGTACAGCGAGTCTAAAATAATTACTAGAATATAACATTTCATTGTCACTGAGATAGTCCAGTGGTTGTGTCAATGGACTTACAATCCAGATACTCAGGTTCGAATCCCGCCTTGGACACTTTTTCACACTCAAAACGGCAATTTATGTGTAGTGAGCAATTGTCACCTGTAGAGTGCAGTATTGTGTTGGGCATCAGTGGAGAGAAGAGAGAAAAGGCAGTCCTGTGGCATAGATCCATGGTTTTCAATGCATGGGCGTAACCCGCTATGACGTCACAAACAGGTTAGAGCATAGACAACTTAAATTCATGAAAAACACGTTCTTTTTATAAAATATAGGATTTTTTTTGCCGGAATCTCTTTCAAATTGACATTGTCATGCAATTTTGATATCCACTATTTAAAATAAAAAAAAAACGTCATAAGGTCTTTAACCAGCTCCCTTGCCACTAACTGAGCCCGTGGAGAGTAGTGCCACAACATTTTTGCAGAAACATTCCTCTTGCTCGAGCTTCAATTTCTTGATATTTGGAACCGAACAAGAAAGGATTACTTTACTACTGCATTCTCCGCCACCAGCAAATTCGCTAACTCCTGACGTCCGCCACACCTACCTACAACACCCGCCTCCCGGTGTAATACTAATTGACCGGGAGGCGGGTGACTAAGGCCAGGCTAATTTAGGCGTTAACGAATGGCTAAGGACAGGCTAATTTAGGCCTAAAACGCCTGGTAAAACATACTTTTAAAACCTGGCCGAGGTTAAAACTTCACATAGAAATATAATTCCAAAAGAATTTAAGAGCTGACACCTGTGGCTTTCCATAGGAATGGAGGGCATTATAAACCTTGAGTAGAATAACACAAAAAAGAAAGATCCGATAAAACCAAAATAATGTGAGAACAAATATTTTGCGGAACCGCTGTAATTACAAAGCAGCCGCAGTTGCTCCCGGGGTCAGAACGCTGCAGAACGGAGGATGTGGAATCCTATTCAAGTATGTACAGCAAATAATTGGTCAAAATAAGATAGACATGTCCGCTTTCCCGGCCTGAGAAGGTTGAAATGGACAACTGCGCTCTCGGCTCTATAGGTAGAAATGTGATAATGTGTTCCTGGCCTGAATGGGTTAAAGATGAGACAGTGAGACCATCAACTTTGTCATATCATGTTTGAGGTGAAATAATATAGAAACCTTATGTTGAAACAACTTACTATGCTACCAACAGAGAGGAGTAAACATTTTTTTTTTCCACCCACAATTGGAAAGTCAAACCAATTCAACGTGCCAATGATTTGTACAATTCCAAACGAAGCCTCTCCTGATTGAAAGTTGCGATTTCAATGTGATTCTGCTTTACGTTGCGACAGAAGTTGACGAGACATGGGTGTAAATGTACCCTCTCTTTGGCGTAGATTATGTACTTGCGGAGCAGCTCCTGGGGGATCGGAGGCACGTCAGAGAAGTTGGGTAGGACCACCTCCTCCAAAGCCACGCAGGACTCTTTGTTTACAGGGTGATGCTTTATGTGAGAGCCCACCACGAAGCGGGCCAGCATCTCGTCCTGAGAACACAATTCCCTTTACCATTTCCTATTTGTAACTGTTATAAAAGTCCATAATTAAGTGCTATGCAAATGGAAACTCAAAGCTCCACTACCTTATAAGCTGGAGTGCCTAACAGTACATGTAAAAACAAAAATACAACAAATAATAGATCTAAGTGATCACCTTGAATAGACTGCCATCATTTGGACCAAGTCTTGTTTTAACCCAAAAAAATATTCTTCTGCGTCTTTCTGCATTTCCAATCATAATTGCATAAAATACATTTTAAAATATAATTAAAACAGCTAATCTTTTGATTTCTCTTTTATAAATAGATTATCTTCAAATGTCCATGTCACATCTAGGGGCTTAAAATGGTAGGTATATAAATATTCCCTAAATGAACTTGAAAACGTTCCGCACCTGCACAGGGTCCACAGTGTCTCTGACCACACACAAGACGTCAAATCGAGACACGATTGGCTCAGTCAGATCCACGTTATCTGCAAAGGTCAGGGACGGGTCATACCTGCCACCTGGGTAAAACAAAAAGAATCCATTAGCCTGAACAGAACAGACCCAAATAAATGGCATGGAAGAAAAAGCAGGTCTCACGGCATGTGACGCTGCTGTAATCCTACCAATAGGGTTAGACGCAGCAATGACCGTACAGCGGGCCTGCAGAGAGGTGACTATTCCAGCCTTTGAGATGGAGATGCTCTGCTGTTCCATGGCCTCGTGAATACTGGTCCTGTCTGCATCGTTCATCTAAACACAAAACAAGCTTAGAAAGGTCAACATATTCAGCAGATAATTATGAGCGATCAATAATTTTCCACCAAATGTAAATCATAAATTTTTTAGTTGAGAATGGAAGATATCGTTTCAACTGGAACAGTGCGTCAAGACTCGCCATCAACAGAAAACCCCAAGCCAAGATCCAAATAAGACAAGATATAAGCTTAGAAACACAGTACATTTTCACAAATTATGAATAATACACTTCGCATATCACTTTCCTTTTCAAGGGAACCTCAAAGTGCTACAACAGGTGCATAAAAATCAAAAACAAGTGAACACTGACTCAACACAAAACCAGCTCAATAGGGTTTATGTAGCCTCCAACTGACTAATGATCCTTTCTAAATCAATAACAAGAATCTAAAAACGAAGGCATTGCAGTAAAAATTATGAACAAAAATGGGATAACTTATTTTGACAAATATATATCTCTCTTCCATAGTGGAATCACACATAAAAAAGTAAACAAACTTGCATTATGGATACACTTAGTGATTGTCTGGAACTCTAATTACACATTTAAATTGACCACCTGGCCATATACACATATACATACACATATACATATATTTTTTTGTTTTCAAAATTTTTATTTATTTATGTACGTACTCCATGATGTAGTCATCAGGGCTGGACTGGCCATTGGGCGTACCGGGCAACGCCCGAAGGGCCGATGCCCATATTTAGGCCAGCCTGTCTGCCTCATACAAAAAACAGGTTTTAGAAAAGTAAATCCGTTGCGAATTGTTCGATGGGGGCGCGCGTGTCCGCGGGGCACCTGCTGTATGTCCTTGAACTGGATTCCGCCACCACAGCTGCCGCAGTGTTCCGGGGCAGCTGCGGCCGCTTTGTAATGAGCGGTTCCCGCTATATTTTAATTCTAGTTTGAATGTGGTTTCTGTAGGAGGAAAAACATTAACGTTTTTAAATGCTGTAAAAATGTGCGTAAGTAATATTCAATTTCAACATTTCTGTCAACGTAGTGAGTCATATCCTGTGACGCAGCCCCGCGCCAGGCGGCCGCTGAGAATAAAAAGAGAAAGTCGATAGTAAGACTGGACTAAGAACAAGAATGAACATTTGCTTTCAGTCAATGAGGAAGGACTGCTTCATGATTGCGATGTAATGAGACGTTTTGTTGCAACACGAGGAAAAATGAAGCGCAAAACACCATTTACTGAAGGATTCATTCATCACAAATTCAGAGCACCTTCTTTCAGACTTCAAAAACCTCAACAAAGACAGTGAAAGAAAGGGCCATTAAGGACATTAATGCAGTTTTTCCACGGTCCGAGTACGGTACGTTTTGACTACACGGCGCGCCATGGCCCAGTTCGCGTGCCTTTCCATCAAAAATAGTACCCCCTAGTATGTCCTCAGCGTTGTCAGATCACGTCATTTACGTGTGGCGCGTAACTAGTACTGGTGCGGTGCATGGATTTATTATAATACCAGAGCAAGTGTTTAATAGAAAATTCAGCACAGCACGACTAGTTTATGAAAATGCTTATGTCTTAAAATAATGACTCAGACACTGAAGTCAAGGGTGCTGACTGCTCTGTTCAATCTGAATGGGACATACCTGTAGCAACAGCAGCCTGTGTAGCAGAGGAGGAGGGCTGCATGCCTGAGGATACTGCTAGGCTATAGCTAATGCTAGCGCTAGCTCGAGACTCTGCTCACTCACTAACCCTGGATTCCAAAGCTACTACAATACTACACTTAACACATCTATCACTGCCATCAGAGGAGGATCCGGGGTTTAAACTCGTCATATGGCAACTCGAGCAGTAAAGGACCGAGGGAGAGACAGCGGCAGCCATAGGGGTAGCGAGTTAGCGGCTAAGCTAGGCTAGTCCGGACTCTGGTCCGGACTACAGCAGACTCCGAGACCAGACAAACAATCGATACCCAAACCTCAGCTACAATAATAATAAATTAATGAAACACAGTCTTGGGATACAATCACAGATTTATTGAAAACAAAAGTAAAGTGCAAAACCAACAGTCAAAAGTACGTATGTCTAAGACCAGGTCCAGGCCAGGTCCAGATGAGAATACTCCGGTCACTCATTACTCGTTGGTAATCTCCACACTTATGGAAAGGGATTCTCATACAAATATAAACACGACAACTTAAATACAAGCACAAAACAGAATGACAACACGTGGATACTGCAGATAATACGAGAAAGCACAGTAGCACAGGGAGGACGTTAGCTTAGCTTGCTATCGATAGCTAAATTAAGCTAAATGTAGCTAGCTCACTGTGTACAACAGACAATCGAGCATTTACACAGTAAATACATTTCAGTGAGAGCTTTAGGGGGTTCGTAGCTAACCAGTTATTTCAGGATTACCACAGACTAGTCACAAATCCAGAGCTGGGTGATCTCCTGAAAACTTGAGCCTCGAGCTGCCTTTGAATTCTTTCTTTTGGCCTGAAGAGAGGAACGTGTGGACCTCTTCCACCGACCAGGACTTTTGGGGCTTTCTGTGCAATTCCATTTCTCTGGAGTGAGGAGGACGTAATGTAGCCGAAGCAGAGCCGAGCAGAGCAGCCGGTTTTAAAGATGGCTGTTGAGTTGTTTTTCCCAAAGGGTCAGATGCCGCTTCCAGTGACGACACTCGTTGACCAATCAGTGTAAGGCAGTGGGCCGACGTGACGTCATGGCACGGGTACTATGGGGATGGAACCACGGCTGAGGCAGTACGGAAAAGTACTCAAATCTCCCATTCCATCCACTAGTGGAAAAGCAAAATAGGTGCGCCGTACCGAAATGAACCGACACTGTGGAAAAACGGCATAATTCAGCTTCAGCCAACTTCAGCCTGTGATGTGATCGATATGAACAGACAGTGCTGTGATGCAGGTGTGAGAACTCAGCCAAAAAGCAGATTTATTTACTGTATTTCTACAATTGAATTAAGGCAAAAAAGGAAGTTAAAGATAAAGCAGAGTCGCCATGTGGTGCGTCATTCTCTCCAGGACACGCTGCAGTGAAAATACACATTTTATAATCATGAATGCTTATTATGTATTTGTAGCCTTTACATTGTCATTTAGATATTAGGCTAATATAGCTAATACAGCTTCAGCATGTGTTACCTTCATATAAGCCTTATTAAAAAGGCTCCGGACAGATGTTTTTAGTTTTTTTTGTCAAATATGGCTCTTTGAACCTTTTGAGTTGCCGACCCCAGGTATAAACAAACTGTAAAACACGTGAAAAAACATGCCTTGGCCGCCAAGAAGGCAAAAAAGCCTGGGCTGTTTTTTTGTCCCAGTTTAGCCCTGGTAGTTATGGAGTTTGGATTTTTCGTCTGTTGCATAAAATACATTACTATAATCACCATTTATCATCAGTGATTGTATGTACTAACAATTACATTATTGTTTGATATGTTTTTGTGCTGGACACAGACATGGGGGTTTTTTGACCGGCTGTCACAAGACAGCTTGTAGCTGTACCTCTCCAAGCATTCATCCTGCTACATTTCCGAATGACATCCCCATGTCATGGCTGTAGATCCTGGTGGTTTGGATCAGAGTCGATGTCTCTCTCGCTCTTGGCGTACAGCTTGATGTCATCCATGTAGAGGTGGTGACTGATCTTTGCTCCGTTCTTGAGGCAGCATCAGTGTTGTGCGTGAACGAGTTCAAAAGAACGCGTTCATTGAACACGCTCAGTTTTTCGTGAACGTTGAACTGAACACAACACATTTTTAAAAAAAGAACTTGAACGTGAATTAGTTCATTTTATGTGTCATGACCGGCAGACATCACTATGAACGTTGGAATCTGTTTTCTCTTTTGAAATGCAACGAGAGAAAGTTCCCCACTCCTGTATTCTCGCACTTTTTCCGCCAAAATCTAAAAATTCCTACGGTTTCCACCGTCTGTGAACGCACCCCGACTATGTTGCGGTGCGGCGCTGGGAGCTGGTGCTTTTCACATGTGCCCGAGTCGTGATGAAAACACAGGGTGAGTTAGCGACAATGTTTACAGTTTACATTTGACATAAAGTATAGACACACGCACTGCAGCGCATTACTGTCTGTAGTTTATGAGCAGCGATGGAGCAACACCGTTTTGCTCCCATTGAAAACCATGTCAATCTTGTCTGTTTTGTAGTCAAAAGGCTCTCCTCCTGTGGGTGTACGGGGATATCTATCTATCTATCTATATATAGTACCTTGCGAAAGTATTCGGCCCCCTTGAACCTTTCGCCACATTTCAGGCTTCAAACAAAGATATAAAATTTTAATTTTTTGTCATGAATCAACAACAAGCGGGACACAATCGTGAAGTGGAACGAAATTTATTGGATAATTTAAACTTTTTTAACAAATAAAAAACTGAATAGTGGGGCATGGAATATTATTCGGCCCCTTTACTTTCAGTGCAGCAAACTCAGTCCAGAAGTTCAGTGAGGATCTTTGAATGATCCAATGTTGTCCTAAATGACTGATGATGATAAATAGAATGCACCTGTGTGTAATCAAGTCTCCGTATAAATGCACCTGCTCTTTGATAGTCTCGGGGTTCTGTTTAAAGCGCAGAGAGAACCATGAAGACAAAGGAACACACCAGGCAGGTCCGAGATACTGTTGGGGAGAAGTTTAAAGCCGGATTTGGATACAAAAAGATTTCCCAAGCTTTAAACATCTCAAGGAGCACTGTGCAAGCAATTATATTGAAATGGAAGGAGTATCAGACCACTGCAAATCTACCAAGACCCGGCCGTCCCTCCAAACTTTCATCTCAAACAAGGAGAAGACTGATCAGAGATGCAGTCAAGAGGCCCATGATCACTCTGGATAACTACAGCTGAGGTGGGGATGGTGTGTTCAGGGTGATGAGCTGTGTTGTTTTTACGCCAAACATATCATTTTGCATTGTGGCTAAAAAGTTCGATTTTGGTTTCATCTGACCAGAGCACCTTCTTCCACATGTTTGGAGTGTCTCCCAGGTGGCTTGTGGCAAACTTTAAACAAGACTTTTTATGGATATCTTTGAGAAATGGCTTTCTTCTTGCCACTCTTCCATAAAGGCCAGATTTATGCAGTGCACGACTGTTGTCCTATGGACAGACTCTCCCACCTCAGCTGTAGTTATCTGCAGTTCATCCAGAGTGATCATGGGCCTCTTGGCTGAATCTCTGATCAGTCTTCTCCTTGTTTGAAATGAAAGTTTGGAGGGACGGCCGGGTCTTGGTAGATTTGCAGTGGTCTGATACTCCTTCCATTTCAATATAATTGCTTGCACAGTGCTCCTTGAGATGTTTAAAGCTTGAGAAATCTTTTGTATCCAAATCCGGCTTTAAACTTCTCCACAACAGTATCTCGGACCTGCCTGGTGTGTTCCTTTGTCTTCATGGTTCTCTGCGCTTTAAACAGAACCCTGAGACTATCAAGGAGCAGGTGCATTTATACGGAGACTTGATTACACACAGGTGCATTCTATTTATCATCAGTCATTTAGGACAACATTGGATCATTCAAAGATCCTCACTGAACTTCTGGACTGAGTTTGCTGCACTGAAAGGAGCCGAATAATATTGCACGCCCCACTTTTCAGTTTTTATTTGTTAAAAAAGTTTAAATTATCCAATAAATTTCGTTCCACTTCATGATTGTGTCCCACTTGTTGATTCATGACAAAGTGTGAGTGTGTGTGTGTGTAAAAAATATTTATTGAAGTATCTCACGAAAAAAGTTAAATGAACTGAACATTGAACTACTTCAGAATTAAAAATGTGAACTTTGAACGTGAACTGTACACTTTGAGCATGTATGAACTGAACTTGTTCAGAAAAGCTGTGAACTGGCACAACACTGGGCAGCATCCATAGTCAGTCTGATCAATTATTTGGCTTAGAGGGTTCAGGCCTATGCAAAACAGCAGTAGGGACAGAGCATCTCCTTGGTGATACCACATTTGATAATCACTTGTGCGAGCGGCTTGCCATTTGCCTCAAGGGTGGTCCTCCACATCCCCATTGAGTTTGCAACGAAGTCCCTTAGAGCTCTGTTGATATTGTACAACTTCAAACATTCCATGATCCATGTGTGGAATTGAGTCGTAGGCTTTTTGGTAATCAATTCAGGCTGTGCACAGGTTGGTGTGTCGTGACCGGCAGTCTTGGGAGACTTGTCAACCAGGAGCTGGTGTTTGGCTCCTATGGTATCTCTACCAATGACCTTCTGTGCGGTGGTCATAAATTGTTCCCATATGCCCACTTATCTTAGCCGCAATTATGCCTGACATGAGCTTCCATGTTGTGGAGAGACATGTTATTGGCCGGGAGTTGGAGGGGACTGCACCCTTCATGATCAGGACCGTTCGCCCTTCGGTTAGCCATTCTGGGCGAAACCCATCTCAGCAGCTGGTTCATTTGTGTTCCTAGGCGCTCATGGAGTAATGAGAGTGCCCTAATGGTGCTTTCAGACCGCCAACGCTGAAACGCTGAAGCCCCGCTCACCAGACGCGCATTCTCTAGTTTTCAGACGCAGAGGTCTTCACACCGAGATGTCCTGACGCGCAACGGAAGTAGCCGGCCGGCTCTGCTAACAGAGCTATGCTAGCGGCTTCTTGTGTACAGATCTTCTCCAATATGCAGCTTTGCAGCGTGTCTTTGAACAGAGACTTTCCACGGGCTTTATATAACAGTATGTGTTCAAGGAGGTGCGGCACACGTTTTTTCATATTAAACCGTATTTCTGCATCGGCGAACACACTCGAAGCAGTTGCATAAGGTCACGGGAGCATGACAACGCATATTTTCACAAGCACACAGTCCCCCATTGTCAACCCTGGTTTGAGTTCTGGTGAAGCCTGGTGTGGGTCCTGTTTTGGCTGTTTACGAGTATTTACAGTCTGCTCGCTCAGTCCGCTAATGTCCCCGTGACCACTTTGTGGCTCTCTGGTTGTCGGACAAACGTCCCAAGGAAAGGATGAGCAGAATCCATCTGCTGTGGGCGTTGATTTTTCGCTCCAGGTCCTCCCCTTTGACTTTCCCGCTAAGTCCGTGCGTGTCTACTGAACAGTCCGTCCTGTGCGTGCCGAGAGGTCCGCGCGTTGCTCGAACGCTCTTCACCATAGACTTTGCATGATCCGGTCTGAAAGCGCCATTAGCCAGTAGGCATGGACCATATCAGGGTCCATGCCAGTTTTTCCATACCTGAGACTCTTTCGCGGATGTCTGCCCCTGTTCTGTTCTGGGGGGTGGCTGTGCGCCGCCCACACACACACACGCACACGCCATACACCCAACCAAACTTTGTACTCATCATTTGCAACTTGGCATGTTCATTTTGGCAGTGATATGGACGTACATACTGTCACTGAGCCGAGGAGTGATTCTCTGGAGATGCGCATGGAAACAGGAAAATAAAAAAATCAGATGAGATTGAGTGCAAACTAATTTTAAAAAGTACTGAATGCTATTCCTCATAGGCTCTTGTCCTGATGGTATATTAAAACACTGTAAAGTTTGAGAAAATCAAGCATTTAAGCATACTGCTCAAAATTCAATCCTATTCCAAACCTTGAGAACACGTTATTGAAAATCAAGCATTTCTGACTTTCAAGGCTCTGTAAAATAATGTAAATAAAATAAAAAATCTCAAAAAGAGAATAATCCATTATTAAGCTGACATACACCAGTCCAACGGATTGTCTAGATGAGGTTTGAAGTCGAAAAATTAAGTTACTTTGGCTTCTGGAAGACACCAAACCATCAAATTAGAAGAGGTTGGAACTTTCCGTATTGCATTGGGAGCTGACTGAACAATTTCAGCATGTAGTAAGGCGCGGTGCAGGTGTTACCTTGTCAAACTCATCGATTAGACACACCCCTCTGTCGGCCAGCACCAGGGCCCCGGCCTCCAGGGTCCACTCGCGGCTGACCGGGTGCCTCTGCACGTAGGCCGTGAGACCCACCGCGGAGGCCCCCTGTCCAGTGGTGAACACGGCCCGGCTGGCAACCTTCTCCACATACCTGCACACAGGACATTATTAGTTCTATGCAATGTTTCACATGTTTTCATCATTTCACATCATCCTTTCACATCATCCTTTCACATCATCCTTTCACATCATCCTTTCACATCATCCTTTCACATCATCCTTTCACATCATCCTTTCACATCGCTCTCTCACACACACAAATTGTGATTGTCACAATGTAAATTTTATGGCCAAAGGGAATACAGTTAGTGCATTTAACAAACGTTCACCCCTTATTGAACAATGTTTTATTATAGGAGACTGCTTTGTAAAGAGTAAATAAGCCTCTCATGTTGGCCTTTGTATGAAGTTACTTTGGAAAAACTTACCATTTTGTAAAAACTGCATTAAGCAAGTCAGTGAAGTTAAAACTTAACAAAATACCTGAATATTGACAGAACTCATAATTGGTAGAATTAAAACAAAGATTCATCGTACATTTTCTACTTTTTTTGTAGAATTTTGGCACCATCAAATTTAATACCTTTCAAAAAGACACTGCAAATTCCCTGCTGATAGTTAAAATAAGTTAGTTCTGACTGGAGACTTACTTGAGAAACTGGGACTTTGCTGTTCCAGGATCCCCGCAAAGAAGTACATTAATGTCTCCACGCACTTTGTGTTTGCCACCTGTCCAATTAAAAAAATAAAAACATTCATATATAATTTTTGTGTTTGTAGATATAAAGCATTAGAATTAATTACCAGGATTTTTAGGTTCTCCCCCAAACAGAGCCAAGGCCAGGGCCCTCTTGATGTCCTCATGACCATAGATGGAGGGTCCCATGCTGGCAAAGATCTATAGTAATTGTAAAGTATAAGTAAACTGAAATGAAAATCTGAAAAGTAGGCACAGCCCTTAACCCATTGTTTTTACACTCAGTGCCACTTTATTGCCAAACTCTTGTTAACTTATTGTATGGCTAAATATTGGTTAGTCTCACATTAATTTTAGTTTTATTATCTTTCCTGTGTTGAAGTTGTATATGTTTTGCATTACTACAATCTATTTAATGAAGGCATATAATAATTCTCTAATAAATGATGTTATCAATGAGATAATCATTTAGTAGATGTTGAATTTCAGGAAAACTTCAGTTTTTAGAGGGTGACTGTAAAGTAGGCCATAGGTTTTACAGGTATGTTTTACCAGGTGTGTCAGGCCTAAATGGGTTAAAAAGCCAATTGAGAACCATTGACGTAAAGGGTCACACACCCCACCCCCCACGGTGCTTACCCTCTCTCCAATGCGCTCATCTTTGGACAGCACCACGATGGCCTTGACGTCTTCATCGGTGAGCTCGGCAACGGCTACGCCCATGTCCCTGCGTGTGATGTGATTGGCCATGATTACTGTCGCGAAAACGGGGAATCCGTTGGCCATGTTCAAAGAGCCGTCATAATTGTTGTGGTAGATGCCGGTCAGCTCCTATGGCAAAAAATGTGTTTGGATTTTTCTGGTTAAAAGTGATAAAAGTATATACTAAGCAGTATATTTTCAAGGCTTACGCATACGGAGCAAAAAATATACCTCAATACATCTTGACAAATCTTAATATACAATACCTTTTCACATTATATTTTACAGGCTATATGTAGGAGGGGGGGGGGGTCTGTGACCCAGGCTGAGTTTACACGGAGACAATGTGGCAGTAAAACGGTATAGTTGGATGTCGGTTGCTACCAACCGTTCATACAAAGACTGTGTTCCAGGGGGGTGAAAACGTAAGTGTTCAGATCCAGCCTGCAGAGTGGGAAAACTCAGAAACGCTGCACAGCGGGGGCTCTCTTTCACACCCGTGAGGGAAAAGGTGTGAAATCCCCCTCTGCTCTGACCCCCACCTCCGCGTTTCTCCCCGCACGTAAATTTGGACATGCGAAGTAGCGGAGAACCAACATCAACAACAATGGCGGTACTCACACTAACTAGCTTCGTGGGCTTCCAGCGCTTCACAGAGGATAATTCTACTCCTTCGTTCGTCCAAACGAGACCACGCGAAGCTCTATGTTCAGTTTCCATTTTCACAGCTGCTGTTAAGATGCAGAATGATGTTGGTACGTTCTGAGGGTCTGGCACAGGAAGTGAGTACACTGCCGAGAGGGGGGCTGGGCACGGGGCTGGGGGTCGTGTGAGTGTTGTAAAGTTTCTCTGCCCAATACTGGCCGGGCGCTAGAACTACATCGTTTTTCAACCTCATGTGAACGCTGAGAAATTTGCATTAGGGGCCAGGTCGTTTCTGTTAATAGCCTGGAAACGTCTGCGCAGCGTCTCAGTATAAACAGGGCCCAATTAGCCACGAAGACACGCTGGCCCTGTGCTACCCTACCGGCCATCCTGGGGCTAGGCGTCAGGACCCGTTGGGATGACACTTTATCAAAGGCTTCATGCCTCTGTTCTAACGGAATTAAGAACAAAGCCACGCCGACCCCCCGTCAAGACAAGAGACGATACTTGTCACACCTCCAGCCAAGGAGACAGGATGACCCAGGGAACAGAAACAAACTCTGGAATAGTACTGTACTGCCCTCTGTGGCCAAAACTGACCAATCAGCTGTAGAGAATGTGTTTATGCAGATTCCCCAAAAAACACGCCCCAAGGGAGGCTTTGCAAAAACTATGCACAGAGAGCGGCGCGCTCTCTTCTCCCTCACACAACTTTTTAAACTTCCCGCGGAGCCAACAGACCAGGCTGCTATACCCATGTATTCCCCTGCTTTTTTCTCTCCACAACCTCACGGGAAAACGGAGTTCACGCCGCTCACGGACGGAGTGTTTTTTTTTCTTCCAACAAAGACACTACCTCACGAACCACCCTCTCCAAACAAAGGCCGTGAACGTTACGTGCCCAAAACGGGACTTTCTCGCGAACACGTGCATTTCCCCAAACAAAGGCCGTGGACTTGACATGTTCTTCAACAAAGACGCAACGCAAGGTCCTTCGGGAGCATCGTTTGGCTGAATGTCTGTTTTGGTGTAACATTTGTTTGAATTGTGACCCCAAACACGATGATATGATTGTAACAATATCCATAGCACGTTCTACATTGTCCTGTTTTTAAGTTTGCCGTGTGAGTCAATAAACCACAATCTTAAGTCGCTGCTACGTTATATCTCAGATACAGAATTCTCTGTTCGGTTCAAAGTACCCATGCCTACAGATGAGACTGAATAAATGCAATTTTAATTGGATTTTAACGTCTTTTGACTGGTGCCCTTTCTTCATTGTAGGTAGATTCCCCTTCCTATAAATTAGGGCTAACAAATTCACTCTTGAATCACGCTTCTGTGAAACAGATAACGTTATTCTACTGAATTTAAGCTATCTTAGACTATTATAATTACCCTACATAAACACCCCAACTCAAAGAGTAGGATAAAAGTGCTTCTGTCACAAATAAAAAAATTATACAAACTATTTTAAAATAAAAACCTTAAGGTAGGCACTGCATACAGGAAAAAAGTGCTTCAACTTATTAAAAAAAATCCCTGAAAACAATTAAGTAACCTCTTCCAATTCAGCGGCAAGCAGCTCTCCCTCCGTAGTGTACACTCAGTTCTTGAATTGCAGACTAATGACAACTAAGTAAACTATCTGCGATCAAGTAGCATGCGTATCAAGCCACGTTGTTCAACAACAGCAATAGGCAAAACGTCCACTGCTGTATGAAATGCCACGTAAGTACAACGTGGGGTGTGATGTGATGTCCTACACTCCGCCATGTTGATTGAGAAGGGAACAAAAGCGAGGCAGAGGCGAGAACAACTAATAAGCAAAACGGCAAAAATGACAAATATTATTAATCAATTGACGTATCGTAAGTAAGTAAGTAATCTTTATTCATATACCGCCTTTCACCAGAGTCACAGAGATTGGAGCGAGTTCGCCAGTACATGTGGTAGGGGAAACCTACGTAGACACGGGGAGAACATGCAAACTCCACTCAGAAAGGCCCTGTTCCGACCGGAATTCGAACCCAGGACCTTCTTGCTGAAGCGAGAGTGCTATCCACTCATCCACCGTGCCGCCCGCTCCCCTACGCTCTCCTCCTACTGAGCAATCTAGTATTTTGTAGCGATCTGAGGCATTAGTTAGCATTAGCACAACTTCTTACAAGCTATGCAACAATCACGGATGAAATGGTACAAAAGCAACGCACTGCTAACGAAATATACAGTACAATAAACTAAAAGATTACCGCCAGTTTCACGTCCGAATGCATTCCGATGCAGTCCCTCTCCTGCAGGTTTCTCCAGCGAGGATACAATGTAAGCTACACATGTTCACCCGGGCTTGATTTCTTCTTTGATCCTTTTTTAGCTTTAGTTCCCTTTTCCCCTCCTTACTTTTGCGTCTTTAGGCTGTTTTTCTGTGTATTCAGTTACAGTAGGGCTGGGCAATAAATCAAATGGGCAATTAATCGAAAAATCCAATTTATGAAAAATATAAAAAATATATTTTTAAGGGCAAAGTTTGTCTTTGGTGACTAATGAAAATCGATTTAAAATCAAAATTGTCCAAAGCAGGAAATAATATCTAGATTTTACTTTTTTGCCATATCGCCCAGCCCTAAGTTACATCCAGTGAAGGTATAGCTACTCTGTTTTGGCTTGGTCAAAAGACTATCTTTAATTCTCCTTGTCAGAATCCTTGATATTACACAAATGTACACTGCTCTGCAAAAATTTTTCAATAAAAATATATATTAAAAAAGCTGTAACTAACTCGATTAATTTGTCATCAGATACATTTGAAATCTTTTTTACTTCAGCAACAATTAGTTAAAAATCAATCATTGCTTTATTCTATGTTTGTGAACCATATTTCATCATTTAGAAAAAATAAATGATATTGGAAAGTTCTAGCCCTGAAAACTATATCAGAAAACCGTATACAAGCTTGTATACGGTCTTCTGATATAGTTTTCATAAAGTCTTCAATAAAGTAATTTTTTGTAGGGGTTATGTTGCTGAAATCAGTATCAACATTTCAATAGTTTTAGTAGGATTTATAACTTTGAACCCTTGTGCACTCACAATCTCGTCACCAGGTTTGCAGCTGTCCACCAGGTCAGCCAGGAGGATGGCGTCTTTGGAACGAGGCAGACGTCCAGCTGCCACTTTCCCAGGACTCTCCTGGATGGTGATCCTCTGGTAGTTCTGGTACACTGTCTGGAATCAGAAAAATAGACCAATAAGTCTATGCCGCTACGTGTACATTTAGAGACTAGTTTCGCATAACCAGGCTTTTTTTCCTCTTACATGGTTCTGCACATTTAGAGTAGAAAAGGGTTGTCAAATTTGGTCACTTATTTTCCAATAATGAAGTAAGGGATAGATAATGTATAGAACGCAGTTCATTAAAAAGGTTATTATCCCCCGTATTATATGCCTGTGCAAACTGAACACAAAATAAATTTCAGTCCACTTTTATGAATGCCGGTTTATTTGATAAAATAGTTCCTGAACGCTTTGCCGTGCCTTGCTAGGCAAGTAACAGCTAGGCTAGCTACTTCAAAACGAGAACTCTCAAACTACATGAAAACTGAACGAAGCATTCTGAACATTAGCGGTGAGTGACCCATATATATATACCATGGATCTATTATAACTGGTTAGGGTATTACTAGCTTGGAGCTCAAGAACCATGTGCTCGGGGGATTCTCGCGGTACTATCCCCCGAGCAGTACTATTCTGCGGGGGGTCTGGGGCACTAAAAAGTTGGATCGCTAGTTAGGACAGGGGTGTCAAACTCATTTTGGGCCGAGGGCCAAATACAACCTTGGATCTCAACTGGGCCGGACCAGAAGATTCAACAAAAATACCCAAAAAATACAAAAATACAAAGTCCAACTTTTTGTGCACATAAACACATTTATTTAAAACATCCTTCAAAACACGATCTAATGCTCGCTCAGTTTAAACTGTAAAATCTGTTAAACTTAAATGTAACCGAGTTCTTCATAGTGCAAATAATGTAATGCATTTACAATATCCATCCATTTTCTACCCTTTAATCCATTTCTGGGTCAGGGGGGTGGCAGTCAGAGATGCCACCCAAGTCTCATAGCACCAGCCCCTCACTGACCCTCTGCAGGTGGTGAGTCCACAGGAGGACGGCTGCTCTGAGTGTGAGCATAGCCTTGATCTTTCAGTGGGGGCTTTTTGGGCAAAGTGGGGTTAAGTGTCTTGCCCAAGGACACAACGACAGCAGTCATCAGTGGGAGTCGGTGGAGAAGGTGGGAATTGAACCCACGACCTGCTGGCCTTAAGGCCAATGCTCTACCAACTGAGCTACTGTTCGCCCCTAGGCTCATTACCTTTGTGAGCAAGTTTGTGTAAGCTCTCAGTCGTACAGGGATTAGTCAAAGCAAAGGAAGGTTTCTCACCCATCATCTGTACTTCTTAGCAAGTTTTCCCGACGTTTTGTCCTCAAACTAGCGGACTTCAGGGAATGAATTCTCGGACCCGCGCTAACTAACTAACTAACGTATGTATACACACATACTCTGAGATCAATATTTTTACATTTTCTCCTGGAGGTGTGCCGCAAGATTTTTTCTATGAAAAAAAGTGTGCCTTAGCTCAAAAAAGGTTGAAAAACACTGCCCTAGAGGGAGCTCCGCGTACCCCACTTTGAGAACTACTGTATTATGGCCCTCTGCTGATCCCTGTATGACCGGAGCCAGAGCTTTGTTCGCATTGCCAGCAGTAAGTCAGACCTGTTCCCGGTGAATGTTGGCCTCCGACAGGGCTGCCCTTTGTCACCGGTTCTGTTCACTGTGTTTATGGACAGAATTTCTAGGCGCAGCCAGGGGTCGGAGGGGGTCCGGTTCGGAGACCACAGTATTTCATCTCTGCTGTTTGCAGACGATGTTGTCCTGTTGGCTCCAACGAACCAGGACCTGCAGCATGCACTGGGGCGGTTTGGAGCCGAGTGTGAAGCGGCTGGGATGAGAATCTACACCTCCAAATCTTAGGCCATGGTGCTCGACCAGAAAAAGGTGCCTTGCCCTCTACAGGTGGGTGGAGAGTTCCTTCCTCAAGTGGAGGAGTTCAAGCATCTCGGGGTCTTGTTCACGAGTGAGGGAAGAATGGAGCGTGAGATTGACAGGCGGATTGGTGCAGCGTGCGGATTGGTGCAGCATGCGTAGTGATGCGGTCGCTGTATCGGACCGTTGTGGTAAAGAGGGAGCTGAGCCGAAAGGCAAAGCTTTCGATTTACTGGTCAATCTTCGTTCCTTCCCTCACCTATGGTCATGAGCTTTAGGTAATGACCGAAAAAACGAGATCGCGGATACAAGCGGTCGAAATGAGCTTCCTCCGCAGAGTGGCTGGGCACTCCCTTAGAGATAGGGTGAGGAGCTCAGTCACACGGGAGGAGCTCGGGGTAGAGCCGCTGCTTCTCCACGTCGAGAGGAACCAGTTGAGGTGGCTCGGGCATCTGTTCTGGATGCCTCTTGGACACCTCCCTGGGGAAGTGTTCCGGGCACGTCCCACCGGGAGGAGGCCCCGGGGAAGACCTAGGACACGCTAGAGGGACTGTCTCCCAGCTGGCCTGGGAACGCCTTGGGGTCCCCCCGGACGAGCTGGAGGAAGTGTGTGTGGATAGGGAAGTCTGGGCGTCTCTGCTTAGACTGCTGCCCCTGCGACCCGGCAACGGATAAAGCGGAAGAAAATGGATGGATTTCGAAGTCAAAGCCCTAGTGCTCACTGTTAGTGCAGTGGATTTGGGTTATAAAAAGCGTCTGTTGTAAGAGTGTGTGGAGGCGATAACAGAAGTTATTTGATCGGAAGAAGTCAGTCTTCTCCCCTTATCATCCTCAATGAAAAAGTGTTGCTTAAGCTTATGTATCCAGTCATTATTCAATGGTGAACTAAAAATCCATGTGAAAATATGCCTTACTGTTCTCAGGACAAATATACAATATTATATTAACACACACACAATTTAACAGGACTATTATTTCACAAAAAGTCTGACCTGTTCCATGTTGATCTCGAAGGGCCCTTGAGACTGACACTCTGGACAGGAGCCAGGCTTCACTTCCTGGTTCTGGGACTGAAAGAAGGGCCCCAGGACAAAGTTACACTTGTTACAGTTGTATTTGACCATCCCGAGCTGAGGTAGGACCCCGGTGCAGCTGCTGACCACCCCACTGGTGCGGATAAGCTGGTTCAGATGCAGCTGCCTAGAGACAGACAAAGGCACGCACATTTCAGAATCATTTTTATTGCCACGTAAGTAACAGGAAGTCAGAATTGGAAATTGCTTTGGCTCGGTGCAGATGACAAAAAAGAGGTAAAGAATAAATAGTAAGCCATAAAAATAAAATCTGCATACACTAAGGTATAAAATTTAAAAGAATTATTACGATTACAATATACAGTACAAGTGCACATGGTGCACACAATATGAAGTAAGCAGTGCAATATGGTGATGTTATGATGGGCATTAAAGTGACTTAAGGTGACTTTATAGGGAGCCGTGAGATGACTTATAAAAGGGCGGGGGGACAGGTTATGTGTGTTCAAGAGTCCAACAGCAGAGGGGAAGAAACTATTCTTTTGGCGGGAAGTTTTGGTCCTGATGGACCGTAGTCTAGCCGAGGGGAGAGGTTGGAACAGACCATGTGCAGGGTGAGACGGGTCGAGGCAGGGCTGGTCGTGATACGACCAGCCCTGCCTCGAGCTCGGGTGACGTACAGGTCCTGCAGCGATGGAAGGCTGCGGCCAATCACTTCCTCTGCAGAGCGCACGATGCGCTGTACACTGTTTGTCCCTGACTGTGGCTCCAGCGAACCACACGGTGATGGAGGAGGTGAGGATGAACTCGATGATGGCCGTGTAGAACTGCACCAACATCTGTGCAAGCAGCTTGGCTTTCCTGAGCTGCCGCAGGAAGTTCATCCTCTGCTGGGCCTTCTTGATGAGGGAGCTGATGGTCGGCTCCCACTTGAGGTCCTGGGTGATGGTGGTGCCCAGGAAACGGAAGGACTCCACAGAGGTGATGGGGGAGTCCATCACGGAGGGTGGGGGCGGGGGGACAGTGCTCTTCCTGAAGTCTACAATCATCTCCACTGTCTTCTGGGCGTTCAGCTCCAGGTTGTTACCACTGCACCAGGACACCAGCGGGTCCAACTCTCCTGTAGTCGGACTCATCGTCGTTGGTGTTGACAGTTGACAGGGGCCCCCCCCCCGAGGCCGACTGATTTGACACCAGCGGTCAACTTGTACAGCTACCTGCAGTGACAAAACTTGCCACCTTCTTCATTAACTGTTAAAAACCCTGCCTAGTGTCTATCAAGTGTATGACATAGTGGTCTAGTGGTTAAGTTGCAGCGCTCACGCCGCGACGAGCCGGGTTCAGATGCGAGTGAGACCTATATTTGGATTAAACCATATACAGCATTTTCTGTGACAGATTGCTCAACAACAATAAAAAGTACAAACAAGCTGTTTTTTGCAGATTAAAGCTTAGAGCCTAATCTTTCATTTGTCCCACAGTGTTTAAACAGACTATATAAACACCGAGGGCCAGATGAAAGATTAGATTTTGTAGGATTACAAAATCTGGTTATGTGGTCAGTATCAGGGCCCCCAAGGACTTGCCTGGGGCCCCAGAGTACCCTTGGAACGCCATTGGTGATCACCCTCACATTGTTACACCAGTTTGTATTAATGTAGAAGCAGAGTCATCCGCCTCTGTTCTTTCCTCCGGAGAGCTCACGCTGGCGATCTGCGCGTTGAACAGCTGAAAGCCCTGCAGCTCCAGAGCGCAGTCCAGGATCCGCTTGTTTAGCCAGGTCTCAGTGAAACAGGACACAGGATGAGGAAAAGCCTTAGTGATCAGCAGGGAGAGTTTGTCCATCTTATTGCCCAGTCAGCGTACGTTGGAAAGGAATATGCCCAGGAGGGCCACGCGTGCACCTCTTCTCCGAAGTCGCACAAGCAGTCCTCCGCGCTTTCCTCTCCTACGGGGTTTCACTTTTTTGGCTAAAACATGAACCAAATCAGCTGCAGACGCTAAGAAAACAGGCAGTAGGTCCATGGGGATGGTGGTTCTAATGTTCAGAAGCTCCTCACGGGTGTAGGAGCAGGCAGAGACGCCATTAAAGCAGAGAAAAAAGAAAAAGAGCGCACTAAAGAGCCGAGGCGACCATATGAGGTGCCATCTTGCAAGATTCTTGTGACCAGATTTATCAATTCTGTCACATCAAGAGTTTCCACAGTCAAAAATGTTTAGCATCTACCAGTCTAGAGTCATACAGCAACTGGGATGGCAGGTCTCAAGTTCATATTTCAGAGGTCTGCAATAACAATACAATCTGGAGCAGGGGTCACCAACCTTTTTGATACCAAGAGCTACTTCACGGGTACTGATTAATGTGAAGGGCTACCAGTTTGTTACACACTTACATACATTGCCAGAAACATCCAAATTGCTCAATTTACCTTTAACTCTATGTTAACATTAATAATTAATGATATTTGTCTTTGTGGAAAAACTGATCATCTTAATATTTTCTCACAATAAATATATATAGAAAGATAAATATCAACTCAACTCTTACTCAACTCATAGTCAACTCTCAAATTTTTCAATAAATCATGTCACACATGTGACCAAAGCGGTCCCATTTACGCTGCTCCTTTCTCCTCTTGAGAACAAAAGCAAAGCTGTTTGAGATCATTACATGTGTTTCTACTGTAGGTTCATGTGACAGTTCTATGGACTCTTCGTTTCAACTCATTTAACTGTGATGTTGTGAATAAAGACACAGTTCTTATTGGAAACAGTTATTATTAAAGTGTATTCAGCACAAACAGCAAAACAATAAGTGGTAAATATCTGAGACAAACACCAACTATTTACAAGTGCAGGAGGAATGCAACAGACGCGATAAGCTACGATTGTAGATTCAAACACAGACAGGAACAGTGCAAAAGAAACGACTGCACAGTTTATAAGTTTATAAATATGTTAGATATGCAACAGAATTCTAGTCCACAGTCTCCGCGTATATCAGCTCTGAGCCACGAGCCCAAACTGCTTTTCCTTCAGTTCCTTCGAAGCACGAAGCAGTCTGCTCCGAAGTGCCTCGTCCATGCTCCCTGCAGCCGCTCCATGCTTCTGTCCAAAACACACACACGGACCAATCACAGCGGAGCTTCTCTCACACACGGACCAGTCACAGCGGAGCTTGTCTGCGGCGGTGGCCGCGTATATTCGAGGGTGCGTGGCAGGCTACGTAAGGGCGTTGCGGTGATCCACGCGTTGCGCAAGTGACGTCACGTCACCACCTTAAGCTCCGCGCGACTATACACTAGGCTTGAGTGCTTCTATTTGAGCTATTTTTAGAACAGGCCAGTGGGCGACTCATCTGGTCCTTACGGGCGACCTGGTGCCCGCGGGCACCGCGTTGGTGACCCCTGATCTGGAGGAAAACAAAACATGCACACAACACTTTTAAATAGCACATACCAAACTATATAAATTATATTTAATCAGTTATAGCCAGGTGTATGGATTTACCTGGTGTGATAAGAGTTACAGAAATTGTGTTATAAATATTCAGCTACATTTTAATGAAAGTTTTTGTAACATGAGTGATGAAACAAGAAAAATAATAAAAACTCTTCACAACATGCAGTAAACATGTCATCAGAAAACGTTGGTATACTTGTAAGATAGAGCCCCACTACTTGACTCTTCGGACTGAGAGCTGGGTGAGGGTGGCGTCTGACAAAGCAGATATGAAGATTTGACACACAAAAAAAACAAAAAAACAATTTTCATGAAAAAAATTCAGGTGTCCAGCTGAAGAACACTAATACAGGTCTGACAGCCAAGGAACAAAGGAAAAACGTTCCGTTCTGAGCAGCCATAGTGTCATGCAGAGGGTGTCTGGAGTTACAGAGGACGCCCTGCATTAGGAGCCCCACAGCTCCCAGAGTCCACACTTCTCTCAATGACAGAAACCAAATCCATGCAGTAGCACTAGCTACAGAAACAAACTTTGAGAGCAAATAACCATTTTAAATAGATTTTGTGGTTTGAAAGTAAAGCACCCTAGCTTTAAGTAGATCAACAATTAGAGGTATTTTACACCAGAATACAATCACACAAAAATTCAAATCAAATTAAAGCCGCAAGCGGCGATGAAAGGCCTTGCCCCTCTTGCGACCGTCTCCTGGGCGCCAGTCGCACAAGCGTCACGCAGACGAATTGGCAGACCGATCTGACCAGGATTACGTATATAAAAGCTCATTTATATGATAAAGTGCGTCCCTAGGGGTCACCTCTGGGACATGCACCCTCTACGTAGAGTAGTATTTTGCTCGTACAGATGTAAAGATTTGATTTTACAACTTTGGTGAAGATCGGAAAAGTTTAGGTCAGAAGCCTTACATAGGTGGCGCTGTAGAGTCATATTAGGTGTGTGTTTTCACACCATTACTCTAAGGCCATTACCAACTGTTAGTGATGCGAGTTTCAGCTCTGTAGGTCTGAGCCTGTGGTCAGGAGAGCAAACATGGAGAAATTCCCCACTACCTCGCATGAAAACGATAACAAAATTCTAACTTATGCGATGATTGCATAACTTCAATCCATCCAGATGGAGAAATGACATGGTAGAAGTCTGTGCGATGAAAATCCAGGGACTAGTAGGAAGCCAAAAATGCAACACCTTGAACTGCCTGTAGGTGGCGCTGTTGCACTCACAGTCGTGTGTTGCATATCGTTGTGTTCCGGGTCATATGCTGTATTTCTGAATTCATTTTTAGCCTCATCGGACAAACATTTTGCCCCAAAAAGCTCATTCATTCACTTTCCGGCGCCCCCAGTGGTCAGGTGTGGGACGTACAACTTTTGCGTAATGTAATGTTTTGCTCGTCTCGGTACAGAGATTACACTCCGATCCGAGCAACTGGTGCACTAGTGCCCTATTACTTTCCGACAGGTGGCGCTAAAGAGCTCAAATTGGGCGAATGATTTTAGTGTCATTGCGTTCAGGCCATAACCTCATATTACTGATGTGAGTCTCAGCTCTGTAGGTCTGAGCCTGTGGCCCTCAGATTCAGTTTATTTGCCATTTGCAGTAAAAAAAACCACATTGGAATACATTAGCAAAAGTCTCCAGTGTGCACAGACAAATACAGACATAAAACAACATTAACCCTTTAGGCGCCAGAGTTTTTTCAAGAAAATATACAATTTTGATTTCAAAAGGCTATAACTTTAAAATGGTTTGAGATAAAGGCATACTGTAAATTAGAAATATCTTCAGTTTGAACCAAACTTTGGGATGGAAGTTGATTCGTCATCGAATTTGCATATTGTGACGTCATCAAGGTGGCGGCCATTTTGGAAAAGGTTAATTATTGTATAAAGACTTCAAAAAGCTGTAGCTTGGGAGTTATTTGAGATTAGGGAATACTATAAACAGTCAATGTGAAATATCTTTAGTATGAAATGAATTTGGGATAGAAATAAATTCCCTGATCCAGATTATAGATAATGTTTTAGCAGTGGTTAAATACATACATATGGAATTGTATTATTTTCAAAGACCTTCAGTGATCAAGACAGCACTCTTTATAGTTTACAGTCATGAAATCTTGAGATTGGTTTCAATACTTCCCTTTCAGAGAAGTAGTGGGCTTACTATTTTTCTCAGTGGAAATGAGCTCCAGGATTTACCGTTTAGAAACAGATGAAATGAATGGGCTCAGAACTTGTCAGATCGTCTCAACAACATACAACAGGCTCTTAAACACTTCTGATCCACTTTTGTGGATTATTTTCTCTCAAGAACTGCCTTCATCCTCATCATCGCTGTTGGTAAAGGCAGTGAACGCGATTAGCGATGTGTTTTTTTCCCGCGGCTCTCCCGCGACTTCTCCCGTGTTCCCGTGGATGTCTACCCCCACTACTTTCTCCCACATGCCCAGTGTTATGATCCCCCTGTCCCCTCCCCCACGGACCCTGCTTGGCGTTCACAGAATGCTTCTACCGCGGCCACACGGAGGACAAGCAGCCGCTGCACAGGGGCTGATTGTGGACTATGGAGTGCGGTCTCCCCGTCACCAATAATGTCCGTGTCTGCTTCACTGGACACCTGCGTGTCTTCCTCCTCTGAATCTGAGTGAGCCAGTACCAGACCAAGTACTTCTCTGGTACTGAAGACCTCGTGAGTAAAATAAAAAACACTCTCTCCCTCTGCTCTGCTCTCGCTCCTCTCAGCTCTACCGCTGCTGCTTCGCCTCCGCGCTGCTGCGCCGCAGGTGTTTTACGAACTCAATTTACTCAAAAACTTTCAATATAGCCACACCCACAAATGTTGCTCATATTACAGGCACACATGTCCACTAACCCCTGGTGAAAAGTATTAACAAGATTCTGCACCACATTTTTAGATACAGCCTGTTTAAGTGAGCAATGTTGCTTGTCGCAATATTGCGACTTTGGCGCTTAAAGTGTTAAGACAAAAATAAAACAAATAAAACTGTAAACAAATGTCACTGTGAAATCGATCGACTAAAACAGTTCAAAACAAGTGCAAATCATTAAAGTGCTCTGTTCACACTGATAACAGCTTGTGGATAAAAACTGTTAGCGTAACGAGATGTCCTGCATCTCAGAGAGCGATATCTTCTGCCAGAGGGAAGAAGCTGGAACATGGCTTTCCCAGGGTGGCCAGAAGAGTCATTGACAATCCTAAGAGCTTTGTTTAAAAGTCTGGATTTATAAAGAACCTCCAGAACAGGAGGCTCAGCGAAAATGGCCAAAACGAAGGCCTTATTCGCCATAACGAGGGACGAAAACTGAAGATTTTCTAACTTTTTTTTGATGATTATATAACTTCAATCCATCCAGATTAGGAAATGACGTGGTAGAACTCTGATGAAAAACCAGGGACTAGTTCGAATTTCAAAATTAAAAGTCAAATTAGTGGCAAAACTTTGGCCCATCATGGCCGACTTCCTGTTGGTCCCAGACATGTGCTTAGACCGGCTTTTATGCTCGTCTCAGAGATCTATCACTCATCCGAATTTCGTGTACCTACTCCAAAATATGCAATCCTGCCTCCAATAGAAATGGAAAATTTGGAATTTTCAAGGGGGCGCTATTGATTCGCCTTTTGTCGGACAATCTCGAAACGTCCGTTTTATCAAATGTTTCGCCGAACTGGTCGTTTTAGACCCCCCATGTGCAGACTTTCGTGCATGTCTTCAGGGTCAAAAATCGAATTGTTTCGGCGGAAAAAGAATAATAATATGAAACCAACGAATAACAATAGGCCTCCCCAATACTACGTATTGGCTCGGCCTAATAAAGTGAAGTACACCAGTACTGTAAGTTTAAAAATTAGAAATCAGTACCTGAGAGAGCGGATTTCCTCCACAAGTGGAAGATTACAGATGCGCACGTGGATCTCGTGTGCGATCCGGTCATACTTGGGATACATGGCCAACACAACTTCTTTAGCAGCTTCGTCAAAAATCTAAACAACGGATTTTAAGCTTGTTTAATTCAGCAACAAAAGAATATATAAAGCCAATGCCAACCTTGAGCATCTCAGTGGGAGCTTCTGGCAAAAAGTAGGCCAGCACGTGCTCTCGGGCTGCCAAGTCTTCATAGTTCACAACAAGGGACTCTTTATTCTCTGGAACAAAACAAACGCATAAACAAAAACAAATCTGGAGTAATAATAAATCTAAACGTGATCGCACCCTTGCACATGTCACTGATCTTTTCTTTGAAAACATTGTGTCCGTTCTCGTCGACGTGAGTTCGAAGGAAGTTCTTAAACCGGTTGTAGATTTCAAGTCTGGGAGCTGCCATAGACACCCATTCTCTCACTGTGTGCCCCTGGGAATAAGATTAATTTATGACAATTACACAGGATATATAGGGGAGCGATAATGACTTGATAACGTTTTATAAATGTATGATAAATGTGCTCAAACATTGTTATAGATAATTAACCAGCTAAACAACACATGAACTGTAAATGAGTAAATGTATTACTTCATGGAGCATTCAGTGCACAAAAGTAAAGTAAAACATACAAGTGTAAAATCTTAGTTACTTAAAATGAGAGGGTAAATACCTCTTTTATATCAATTGGACCTTGACATTGAACATAATCTCCAAAAAGCAATGCGCTTTTCAGCAAATATAACTCATGGATTTAGACTCTGGGGATACGCTGGTTAATTTCAAAACAAACTTACTCAGATATTCTTCCCACATACCTTCATGTCCTCCAGGTTCTCGATGCTCTCAATCATTTCCTCATCCTCTCCCTCTGTTACGCCCTCTGCAGCCCTCTCAGCCAATCGCCTTCGCCGAGCCGCGGGGCGCTCGTCATCTTCATCCTCGCTGTCTGTAAAGGGCACATTACCTTTAAGAAACTCGGCACCTGACCAGCACACTTTTGAAGTGATTTTGAGGGATTACACCAGTTGTAAATATGAGATTTGCACCAAATCAGGCAGCAAATAAAAAATTTTTTCACAAATGCATCAATTGTTATGACACATACAAGGGACAATCAAGATTTCAGGTAGAGCTGCTGCTAACAAAAACGTTAGTATTTAGATAACTTTTGAAGGAGCTGGAAATTGCAGCAAGTCTTAAGTTGCTCTGAAACGGTTGTTTTGTGCTTTACAAGGGCGACAGTAGCTCAGTTGGTAGAGCATTGGCCTTTGGGCCTGAAGGTCGTGGGTTCGAGCCCACCGTAAGACCTACTTCAAGACTCCCACTGATGACTGCTGTCGTTGTGTCCTTGGGCAAGACACTTAACCCTACTTTGCCCAAAGCTCCCACTGAAAGATCTCAGCTCCTGTGGACTCACCACCTGCAGGAGGATCAGTGAGGGGCTGGTGCTCTGTGTACTGGGTGCAGCTCTGACTGCCACCCCCCCAACCCAGAAATGGATTAAGGGGAAGAAAATGGATGGATGGACTTTTCTTTCTTTTTTTCTAACTGAGATGATGCTGCAGTACAATGTTCATGGTTTTGCACTGGTCCAGAACAGAGCGGAAAGGATTCATGGTCTGAAAAAAGCTCGTCAGGCGAAAATCCACTGCATGAAAGCTAACTTTTTGAAAAATGCTAACACATTCAGCATCTCACTTTAGACTAGAGCAGAGAAAATGGTCCGAACAAAGCGGCTCCTCCACCTCTGCTGCTGTGACCTCTCCTGCTTCACCCAGGACCTGTGACCTAAAGTGCTGTTGCATTTTAATACTATTGATAGCAATGTGTTTCTGCTGCTACTGGACACCTGAATTTCTCCTACAGGGGACCAATAAAGTATTTATACATCCATCTATAATCAAGTATTCTATCGAATATCCTGACCAATTAATAGAGTAATCGAATAAATAATATTTGTGTCTAAGGCTTGTGGCTAATTGTAATTCTTGCACTGGACCAGGGGTGGCCAATTCACGGGTATGAGCCCCATGCCGCTCTTTGGCTGGTTCTATGTGGCTCTCGGGCTTTCACATGACAAGCATTAAAAACGCCATCGGCGCTTGATGAGGGCAACACCTTCCTTAGTTTAATGAGAGGACCAGGGTGAGCTTGATGGTGCCACCAGAATCCAGAAGGTGTTTGTGGTGATAGCGCTAAGGATGGAGAATGAATATCCACGGACATCGCAGCGCAGAGAAAAGTTAAGCTTAAAACTGACAACCGTGAAATGAAAGATCACAACAGCAAAAGAAGAGGCAGAACCGAAAAATCTGGAGGTGGTTTGACTGAATGGACACAATTTACAGACATCGGCTAATACCTACTAACACTCCAAAACCAGCTACACCAGGAGAGAAGCCTCAACTCATCTGCCTTGTCCTAGATTGAGTTTGAGAGAAATGGTGTGTATGTCTTCATTCATTTTCTTCCCCTTAATCCATTTCTGGGTCGGTCATCACAAGATCATATAAGGAATTGGGACGGAAGCGGGAGTAAATATAACAAACTACCAATTCATGCCTAAACCCATAAAATAACCCACCCATAACCCTAACCATCACCATCTTAATCAGACGCCTAAAACTTAACCATCACCACTTAAGGACTTTTTAGTCTAAAACTAATTCAAAAGTAGGATTGTTACTTCCGGTTTCATCCCGATTCCGTATAGGATCTAGTGCCGACCTTTCTGGGGCGAGGGGGGGGGGTTTGGCCAAAGCTGCACCAGTCCCTCACTGATCCTCCTGTAGGTGGTGAGTCCACAGCAGGATGGCTGCTCTATGGCATAGACTTGATCTTTCAGTGGGGGCTTCAGGCAAAGTGGGGTTAAGTGTCTTGCCCAAGGACACAACGACAGCAGTCATCAGTGGGAGTCTGTGGAGAAGGTCTCATGGTGGGCTCGAACCCACGACCTTTAGGCTCAAAGGCCAATGCGCTACTGTCGCCCCTGTCTGTCTTCAATCAAATGCAAAAGTATCTGGTCTTATACTGAACATGTGTCTGTGGTTACTAAGTCTAGAACAGCTAAAGTGGTGCTGATGTTATGGGTCATTCAGTGGAATACTGAGGCACCCTCAGTGTAGGAAGGAGCGCTACCGCAGGGCCTTTATCCCCACCGCTGTCAGACTGTACAATAAGGTCACTTTAAATGATCACTGAAAACCTGCACTACTATTGACACTGTTTCCAATTGACACTTTTGTTGCACATAATTATAGTCACTTTATTGTACATATATATCCTGCATGTAACATGTTTGCACATTTCCTCCTTTTGCACAATCTGAGTGTCTCTATCCATGCCAAATGTGACATGTAAATTGAGAGTGAGATAAATAAAGCACATCTTATCTTATCATTAATATCTTTTACTATATGTTGTTAGAGAGCGAATCATGGATTCATGGTTCAATGAAGACAGTTGTGTAATATGCTGAATGCTGCTCGTTAGAGATTAAAAGCACTCATTTCAGAATCATAATTGACATCGCTGACGTCAGATGGTTTTGGTATCTACTTGGCTCTGCTAGAACCAGGGCAAAGCAGTTACTAAAACAGTACCGGGTAGCTGCTAAAGCGAGCCGCAAACCGGGGAGAGTCGAGCCCGTGGAAACGGCCCTTTAGTACTGTAGGAGTCCATTTCTGTCATAATGTTGAAGTGTGACATTTACAATAAATCTGGCGAGTAGAGGTGTGTGTGCGCGCGTGTGTGCGCGCGCGTGTTTGCACGTGCGTGTGTGTGTAAGGGATGGGGTGATGTTCATGTGTTCCCATTTGTATGAAGTTGCTCCTTGCAGTAACTTAGTAAAAAAACGTTTTGTCGTCTCTGGTTGGCCACCCCTGCACTGGACTATACAGTATTTTAGACTTGCTTCTTTATTATGCTCAAGTTAGTGATACGATATAAACTTCTATTTAGGGATGTAAATCGGCGACCGGTTAACCGGTGGTTGACCGTCACAGCGTTAACCGGTCAAAGCTGTCGGTTAAAAAAGAGAAAAAGGGGAGGTCTCTTAATAACGCTATTTTAAGCCCTATTTGCACGGTGTGACGAGCGGGTCTGTATCTAGCTGTGTGCGCCCATGTATTATGAACTCCGGGACGACTCTCACGCCGCACGAGCCACATATGCACACACGCGCCCGCACACACACACACACACACACACACTTTCCCCCTCTCCATACGTAACATCCACAAGCATCATCTCTCCCCTCTGTTACCGTCAAAGTTGCACACTGGCGCGGGTCAGAACTACATTGGAGCTTACATTTACACACACACACATACCGGTCTGTCGCGCTCCTCTGTGTCACGGAGCCCAAAGGATTCGCGCAAATACACGGCTCCAGTCAAACCACATGGAACATGTTTGTGTTTATGGTCCTCGGGATCAGCTCCACACACATCACTTGTATTTAAACTTTTGTGAAGACCTGTGAGACGCGGCTCGTCACTCGCTGATCTGACCATGTGAACGAGCCGTCGTTTGCTGCTAGAAAGTTTTGGTATTAACCCGCAGCACAGCAGAATGGGAAGATTAAAAAAGCAGTTCTCTGTGCGCAAAGGTGCCGGAGCTGTTGCGGGTTTGGGCGCCGCTGTCTCAACTCTGATCCAGTAGAACGCAGAGCTGCACTTATGAAAAGTACGCGGCTCGAAATGGCTGTTATTTCAAAGAACGTGGACTATTTTAAACTACGCGGTTAACCGGTTTCAACCGGTTAATGAGGCTCGGTGGTCGGTCATGAAAATTCATAGTTTTTTACATCCCTACTTCTATTAATAAGCAACAATTATTACTAGATGTCAGTGTTGCAAGCTAGTCTGAGCTAGAGCAAAGCCTTCAGTCTGGCAAGGAAAGCCTCAATGTTATGCCGCGCGCACCAGGCGCACATTCTCTAAATTTCAGACGCAGGGGTGTTCACACCAGAAATCCTAGTTTAGTCTGGGTGTAGATCCTGTTTTGGCTGTTGACGAGTATTTTTAGTCTGCTCGCTCAGACCGCTTATGTCCCCGTGACCACTTTGCAGCTCTCTGGTCACTGCAAGAGCGTCCCGAGGAAACATTCAGCAGTTTTTATCTCCTGCGTGCGTCGATTTCCGCACCTGAGCTTCTGCCGCGCATTCCGTACATTGACTTCCACGCTTGAACGTGCGTCACCATTGACTTTGCATTGAAAGTCGTTGCAACGCATGATCCGGTCTGAACGCAGCTTTACAGGCTTCAGTCACCCATCACTACCATTGTGGTACGCTAGCACCATCTTGCGATGTTTGCATGCTACTGCATTTCCTTTAATGCCTCATAATTCCTTCGCTCAATGGAGTTATGTCGCCATAAAGATTTTACAAACACAAGCAAAGAGTATTTCAATGACTGGTGCAAGGCCTGTAGGATCAGTGACGTAAACTTGTTGTGCAACACATAGAAGCCGTGCGAAACGTGAGTTTTTATTGCGATTTATACAAAACTGTTTTTTTTGTAAGATATGCTATATGCATGTACCATACCCGGCCACGGGAAACACTACAAACATGGAAGTAAACATTCGCCAGCGTCAAAGATGAAGATTTCACTATTCCATCCTCATTTGCAATAAAGAATTCCACAGATCTGAGTTTGCTCTAAAGCTTTAGGATTATTTATAGCAGCACGACCGAGAGACACTTCTCTACATTCGGGACCGAGCTTGCGGAGTGTCGCAGGTCTTACCCGAACTGAGGTGCTTGGACTTCATTGAGTGCCCCACTCGTGAGGCCCGTCAAACATGGCAGGCGGGCCGCGGCAATGGCCGCGAGCAGAGCGGGGGGACTGGGCGTCTCCATCGTGCTCTCCGCGGTGTGGAGCTGGGTACCGGGAGCCGACGTAGGAGGCGCAGACACCGGGGAAAACGAGGCGGTCTGCTCGTGAGATGCCGCTCCTGCAGGACCGCTCTGCCCTCCATCTACCTGGCGAATGTACAGTCTCTGCCCAATAAGACGGACGAGCTCCTGTGTCGTATCCAGTGCCAGCGAGAGGCCCGAGACTGCGCTGTGTTCTGTCTCAGCGAGACGTGGCTCCACACGAACGTCCCGGACTCTGCTGTTCAGCCCCCGGGATTCACCGTTCACCGCGCGGACAGAGAAAAGGAGACCACGGGGAAATCCAGAGGTGGAGGTGTGTGCTTTTTAATTAATCAGCGCTGGTGCACGGATACTCGCATCGTGAACCAAACATGTACTGCCAATTTGGAATGCCTGGTCTTGAGCTGTCGCCCTTTTTATCTTCCGCGGGAGTTTTCTGTGATATTTTTATGCGCTGTTTACATCCACCCACGAGCGGACTATACTGTAGCACTACAGGATCTGAGCGAGATCCTTCATAAATACGAGACTGCTCATCCTAATGCAGTGATCATTGTCGCTGGGGATTTTAACAAATGTAATTTAAAGACTGTACTCCCAAATTTCTACCAACATGCGACTCGAGCTACAAGAGGAGCACAGATCCTGGATCACTGCTACAGCAATGTGAAGGGAGCTTACAGGTCCAGTCTCAGACCTCCATTTGGAAAGTCCGATCACTCCTCTGTTCTCCTTCTTCCCTCATACACTCAGAGGAGCAGGGAACATAAACCAACCTCACGCACTGTGCAGTGTTGGTCTGAGGAGGCTAGCATGAAGCTACAAGGTTGTTTTGATGCCACTGACTGGTCTGTGTTTCAGTCAGAGGATGTTAATGAATTCTGTGACGCTGTGACTGGATACATACGCTTCTGTATTGACTGCTGTGTCCCACAGAAGGTCATTAAAGTACATCTCAGTCAAAACCCTTGGATGAACGCGGAAGTGAAACAAAAACTTCATGAGCGTGCGTTGGCGTTTCAATCAAATGATACAGTTGCCTATAAGCTATCCTGTTACGCATTGAAACGTTCTATTAAATCTGCAAAGCGCAGTTACGGGGACAGGTTAAAGGGTTATTTTAAGGAAGATGACCCTCGGCGCATGTGGAGCGGTATTAAAGCCATCACGTCCTGGAAACCTAGTGCTGGGAAAATCGGATCTGTTGGCCCAGCTCTGCCTAATGAGCTGAACTCGTTCTACTGCCGCTTCGAATCTGCTGATGCCTGTCCTACTGTCTTTCCTGATTGTCTCAATCAAGGTACCTTCACCGTGACTCAGGAGGTAGTCCAGCGGGTCTTGTCCAGCACCATTGTCCGGAAAGCCCCTGGCCCGGACGGCATCCCACCCCGTGTCCTGAAACTGTGCTCTGAGCAACTTGCCCCTGTTTTAACAGACATTTTTAACCTGTCGCTAAGGAACTGTACTGTGCCGAACTGCTTTAAAGAGTTGACCATCATTCCAGTTCCTAAGAAAACTCCTGTGACATGCCTTAATGACTATCGTCCTGTGGCCCTCACGTCTGTTCTTATGAAGACTTTTGAGCGGCTTGTGCTGGACTTCATTAAGAGCCAGATCCCTGTGAGCGTTGACCCGCTCCAGTTTGCTTACAGACAGAACAGGAGTGTGGAGGATGCCATCTCCTTTGCTCTGAACTCTGTCTACACTCACTTGGACAATAGTAAATCTGTCGCGAGAATGCTTTTCATCGATTATAGCTCTGCTTTTAATTGTCTTGTCCCAGGTAAACTGATTGAAAAACTCATGTCTCTCGGTTTAAGTGTTGCCATGTGTAAATGGATCTATAGCTTTTTAACTGACAGATCTCAGAGAGTGAAAATCAATGACTGTTTTTCAGATGTTGTTTCTGTGAGCACTGGATCTCCTCAGGGATGTATTTTGAGTCCTTTACTTTTTACATTGTACACTCATGATTGTGTGTCTTCTTCAGACTCTAACCTGATCCTTAAATATGCTGATGACACCACCATCAGTCTCATCAGTAATAACGATGAATCGTCTTATAGAGCCGAGATCCAAAACGTGGTTCAGTGGAGTAAGGCTAACAACCTCCAGCTGAACGCATCCAAAACATGTGAACTGGTCTTTGATTTTAGTCGCAATAGTTCTCACTTGCCTGTCGCAATCGATAACTCCCAAGTGCAGATTGTAGAGGAGTGTAAGTTTCTGGGTCTAACTCTGTCTAATGACCTGAAATGGGTTAAAAACACTGACCGGGTCGTAAAGAAAGCTCGTCAGCGTCTCTACTTCCTGCGGAAACTTAGAGAATTTACCACTAACTCTAAGATTCTGCTTAACTTTTATCGCTGCACCATTGAGAGTTTACTTGTTGGTTCTGTGTCTGTGTGGTTCGGTAACATCACAGATAAAGAAAAGAGAGCTTTAAACAAGGTGCTCCGCTCTGCTAAGAGGACTGTAGGCTGTGAACTTCCTGTCCTGGAGGCTCTTTATCAATCCAGACTTTTTAACAGTGCCCTGAGAATTATCAATGACTCTTCTGGCCACCCAGGAAAAGCCTTGTTCCAGCTTCTTCCCTCTGGCAGAAGATACTGTTCTCTGAGATGCAGGACATCTCGTTAGGCTAATAGTTTTTTTCCACGAGCTGTTATCAGTTTGAATAGAGCACTTTAATGTTTTTGCACTTGTATAGATCTGTTTTAGTTGGTCAACTTCATAGTGACATTTGTTTACTGTTTTTAAAATTTGTTTTATTTTTGTCTTTTAATGTTGTTTTATGTCTGTACTTGTCCTGTGCACACTGGGAACTTTTACTAATGTATTCCAATGTAGTGTTACTGCAAATGGCAAATAAAATGAATCTGACATATGCAGCAATAAATTGGTGGGGGAAACGCTGAATTTAAACATTTAATATGCATACTTGAGCCACACTACAGTACGGAATAATGTGCTGTAAGAAAAAAATTGAATCGAGGACTTTGAGAATCGTGACACCCCTATTTATTTGTATATAAATATTTTTCAGTAATGCATTATTTCAACAGTATTTGTTAAATCTATAAAATATATTGATTAAAAAATCCTGAAAAGCAGATTTCTCACATATATACACATATACATACACATATGTATACACATATGTATATACATACACATGTATATACATACACATATATATACATACACATATATATACAGACATATGTGTATGTGTATGTATACACACACACACACACACACACACACACACACACACGGGTCTCACCATAGAGAAGTCCCCTCCGCAGCCTCCCGCTAAGGCCTTGCTCGCGGTCCCTGCGCCTCATGGCTTCCTCTGCTGCAGCGCGCGCTCCAGGGGACAGCTCCGACAGATCTTCGTCATCCAGGTCCAGACCTTCTGCCTCGTACACGTCCAGGGCGGGGATGGCACGGTAGTCCCTGGCAACCACATAAATAAGAAATGGACTGCTAAAACCAGAAAGTACCATTATGGTACGTACGAATGCATACACATACATTTTGTGTATTTATTTATTTATTTATTAATATATTATATATTCCACACTCTCAGATTATTTACCAGCAATCCATAACTATGCTAAAACCTGCATCATCAACATATGAATTGTGTCCATAGTAGCAACCAACCGCTCCATCCCGTCTCCAATCAGCTCCTCTCCATCCCCCTCTTCCTCCTCCTCGTTCAGGGTGACATCTCCCAGCAGGCCCTCAGACTCATCCTCAAATGGCGGCAGGTCTCGGCCAGGGCTAGAGGTCAGGTCTCCTCTGCGGGACAGTCTGGTCGGGCTGGTGAAGACGTGGAAAGATTCGGAGGAATCCTGACCGTAAAGATCAGAATGTTTAGTTTTGTAGAATTCCTCCATCATCTCATTCAGATCTCCAATCTTTGCGTTTGATAAAGCTACGGAAACTAAATAGTTAAATTATAAACATGGCAAGTTCTGTTGAAAAGGCCTAAGACATTTTGTGATTATATTTTTGTTTAACTAAAAATCAACAAAACGAAATACCAGGTCATTGACCTTTTGTAAAAAATGGTTTGGCCACAAACCAATGGTTTGACATATTCAGCCCAACTTAAAAATACATTGATAGAGCTAATACACAAGGAATAGAGATGATAATACCCACTCCAATATGTTGCTTGAAAGATAAACATTGAATATTTGTTGTGCCTTCTCCAGTATTAATGATTTTAATAAAATGTTAAAAATGTGAATAAGCAAGACAGGGCAAGTTTATTTGTATAGCACAATTCACACACAAGGCAACTCAAAGTGCTGAACCACACAAGATAGCATTAAAATCCTAAATAATCACAGTGCATTAAAAAAAAAAAAAAAGACAAAAATATAAAATCCCTCAGTTGTATGCACAGCTAAACAGAACTGATTAACCTGGATTTAACCATTGTCAGAGAGGCCCATCTCACATTTTCAGGAAGATTGTTCCAGATTTTAGCAGCATAAATTTCAAATGCAGCCTCCTCATGTTTAGTTCTGAATCTGGGCACATGGGAGTCCCGCCGTCCCTGTACTCCTCAGAGTCCGGGCCGGTTCATATGGCACCAATGTACTCTGAGAGACTTGTACCCAAGCAGAGCTGTTTTAAAGTCTATTTTCTGAGCTACAGGAAGCCAGTGCAGAGACCTGAGGACTAGACTAATGTGATCATACTTCCATATCCTTTGTCCTCTGAAACCAAGCAACACCATTAACCCTTTTACATTGAAGTAAGGAAAGGTTTTAAAACAAAATAAAATACAGTGTAGATTTTACTTCCCAGAGCCACATGTATTGTATGATTTTTTATTTTTTTTAAATTAGGTGAAAATATTTGCATTTGAATGTGTATACTTAAAAGGGCTTAGCTGGTAAAGCAAGGAATTTACACCATCTAAATATAGAAAAAAATTGAATGTCCGATTATGTTCTTTACTTCAATTGAACACACTTCAGTAATAAAGCACATTGTCCAGTCCAGCCTGACAAAAACGTACGCTAATGTAGTGAGAATAATCGATAAGTAGCACGTAGAAGAAAGCAAAAAAATGACAACTGTGCCAAAGTAAATGTCAAATAATGAACCTTACAAAAGACTTTCTGCAAACAAGGTTATGCGAAAGTATCAGGGCAAATCATTGAAAACACCTTCGGCCAATTAGATATGCGATTATAAATTAAGAATACTGCACGCCACGCCATCGTTGTCAGCCCAGGGTAAACGTCAAAACTGCATTCAAGGCACAAGAGTCAAAAACACAACTGGTCACATCAGTTGTTTATTCCAACTCAGTATAGAGGGGGAATAATGCTAATTCGCTAATTCCAGAGTATGGCTATAGCATATTGAGAAGATTTTAGACTCACCGCCATTGTGTTGATGTGCCTTTACAGCTCCCGGACGAAAGACTGCTGCATCGACTTCTTCCTAACACAAAAGGAAGCTTTTCCCGCGAAACAGTCACGTGGTCCAGAAAGCCCGCGAAATCTTATGAATATTCATGCAAGTGCGGTGACATCACGCGCGCTGAATGGTTGGTAGTAGTGGGAGGCGGTTGGATTTCAAGTTTCCCAACGCTTTCTGGTCAACGCTTCAACTATAACCCCTGAATCGTCCCTCTTGATGGTAACTGGCTTCAATAAACAATTAAACTATCAAACAAGTATTATGTGGTTGTATTGTATGTATCTCTTGTATGATTATGTCAATCCTTCATTATTATTTTTATCAGATTCAGATTCATTTGCCATTTGCAGTAAAACCACATAGGAAAAACTGTGCAAGACTACCCCGGTGTGCACCCGGATTATTTAGAGTTAAAGTGTGTATATATGTGTTTATATGACTAGCCCATTCAGGAAATGTGTTTCTGTGATGGGGAGAAGTGTGGACTCTGTGGGAGATGTGCTGGAGAGAAGGATGAGGGCTCTAATGCAGGACATCCTGGGTAACTCCAGACACCCTCTGCATGATACTATGGCTGCTCAGAGGAGTAATCATAGCAGGAGGCTTATATCACTGCGCTGCTGAACGGAACGTTTTCAGAGATCCTTTGTTGGGACAAATGTCCCAAATGCTATGATGCCCACAGATCTGTGCCACCCTCTCTCCCCATGAGGAACGACAGAAAAGTGGTAGGTCCAACCCCTCTCAAGGCTGTTGGGACGTGGATGATGTGTGCACAAACCGGCTTGTCGCAGTCACCGCGTTCGACTGCCAACCAGACCTCTCAGCATCTGACCCTGATGGATCACTCTACGGGTGGTGAGTCCACAGGAGGGCAACGGCCCAACCACCAGGCACTCGCCATACCTTCTTGTCGTGCTTTATCTGACTCGTCACCTCAGACCCGTTTGCCATGGGAGACCCTAACAGGGGCATAAAGCCCCAAACAACATAGCTCATGCTTAAATGTGAAATATAAAACAATTGACGGCCTGAAAACTGTTAACACAACCTTGCATCAAACAAAAATTTTATAAATAACCCAAAGCTTTAATGTATTTTGAGAAAGGCAAAAACGTATCAAAGCAAAACTAATAAACACAAATAAGAAACATAAAATATATCTCTTCACAGTGCATTAAAATACATATTTCATTCATTCATTCCTTGGTCTTCATACATAAAGCATAAAAATAACTAATTGTTTATGGTTTCAGAAGGGAAATCTTTATAAAACGCAGTAATTTCTTAGGTTATGTTAGAAATGGACAAACAAACTACGTTCAAAGTAATATTTGCTGCTTTAATTAATGTTGTAACTTAATTAAGTAAGTAAGAGCATTATCCTCTAAAATCTTCTTTAGTATTGTTTGTTCCAGTCACAGCGGGTCACACAATGCAATCCCTTTAGGTCCGTCTACTTTTGCGTTCAATTCATTTTCTATTTTTGAAGGGAAATGGAAAATCAAAAAAAGGCAATTTTGCACTTTCAGGCACATGTCAATATAAAAAAAAGGTTTTTTCAAAGCTTTTAAGACATATATTATAATAACCGGATTTGGGAACTAGAAAATGCAATAATTAACCTTTTTTATTATGTACTTAATACATTTCGGCGTCAATCGATTACCCGGAAGTGAAACAAGTTTGTTTACTAGGCCCAGACAGTCTATGGCCAAGACTGAGCCCTATTCGCATGGGATTAGTATTACCTGTGGACCCCTTTATTATAATAGATCCATGGTGGACCCCTGGTAATTTGTGATAATCGCGGAGGACGTCTGAATCTTCAAGCAGCCCATAGAGACTAAAGTCTGACCACAGCAGCCACAGAGACCATGAAGACAAACACATAAATGTGGATTTTACTGCTCTACAGTTCTCTTCTCCCGTACTATCTGTGCTGTTCAACAATACTGTGTGTACGGACTACCCATGAATGGAGCAGATACTCTGCTAACATACGAACCAACCAGCAGTAACGGCTGCAGTAACGGCTGCATCAACACGTCTGTACTGTATTAGGACAGAGTGCAAAGTAAACGTACAAACACAACCCATCAGTCTGATCATTTAGTGTAAGTGAACACATAACTGTCCTCTACACTTCTCCATAGACCTCACAAGGACAGCAGCAGCCGCGACTCTGCAGCTGTGTAATATTTACAGTCTATAGTACACAGCCGCGATACGCTACTCCTCTGCTCATTGACAAAAAACCAACGCAGAAATTAAATAGAAAGCGGCGATAGCGATCACAATAACTGACATGCAGATTCGCACGGGATTAGTATTATCAGAGGACGTCTGTGTTTGGACAATTACAGGTCATTTGCGGCGGAATTATTACTTTACAAATTAGACATGGCGCATTCGCACGGGACTAAACGTCCTCCGAGATTACCACAAATTACCAGGGGTCCGCTGTTATTATAGATCCATGGGGTCCACAGGTAATACTAATCCCGTGTGAATAGGGCTTTCTTCAGTAAACAAACTTGTTTCACTTCCGGGTAATCGATTGACGCCGAAATGTGTTAAATACTTAATAAAAAAGGTTCATTTTTGCATTTTCTAGTTCCCAAATCCGGTTATCATAATATACATGTCTTATAAGCAATGGAAAAAACCAAAATGGTCATCTAAGAAGATCTCGTCAGACCTCTGAAGCTAGACAAGGCAGGTCTGGTTAGTACTGTGATTGGAGACATGTGTCCTTGGACAAGATACTTAACCCTAAGACAAAAAATGTAAAAGAAGCGAGCACTGCTTAATTATCTAACATGTTTTGGAGGTAGACTTCCGCCTTCATCAGGTTGTGTGACCTCACCCCCTGCGAGTTGTGGTTTATGGGGAAATGAATCCCAAGTGTGAGCCAAGGTGAAAGACCTCTTGTTTCTGTTGATTTGTGCACTCCTCTTTCTGATTTCAATCGACACGAGGGGGCGCGATCAGCCGGATGAATCTGTTAGTTCTGTCAGTGTGGCTGCATTTGGCAACAACTGATAAGAGACACGTCACACCATCACACGTCATCTCTGATGAAGGCTGAAGTACTGCTTAACATGTCAGGTAGTTAAGCAGTACTAGCTTCTTTACATGTATTGTCTAAGCATTAAACATAAGAAAAAAATGACCTTTTTACACTTCACCCACATTGCTTGAATGGTTGGTGGTGTTCGGAGGGGCTTCTGTCAGTTTACCCTAGGAAAGCTATCACTACGGTAGTTTATTACCAACGTGTATGGAGTGAATGAACAAGTGACACGTCTTTGAGCGTCCTAAAACAGTTATAAAAAAATGTATGCATTATGAGGCCTTTTTAAATTTTAAATGTTAAAAACCTCATAATTCGAATATTATAACCTATAAAAAGGCAGTTTATTTTTTAAATATGTTTAGTCGATTGCATTTATGGGAACATTATATAATTAGAAAATTGAATTCATGACATTTGATCATTCCTATCCCAATAAATCCCTATGAATAAAAAGTAGGGCGACAAAAAACATGCACTGTGCATCGATTACCAGACTAATGGCGTGGAGCCTTTTGAACCATCAGGATTTTTTAAATGAGGTCAGACTTAATCTGATCAGACCATGCAATAACATATCTTCTAAATACGTAAGTGTATGCAGAAAGTGACTTCTAAAATCATAAGTGGGTTGACCAAGACACATTTGACACTCCAGCCCTAAACAAAAACTTTCAGCATCAAAGCCAGAAACAAAAGCAAACTGACAACTTAGACGTTGAGAGGTTCTTTTACATGAAAAAAATGAAATAAAATAAAAGGAAGATTGCAGTAAAATCTCACTTATTTTTTATAGTGGAGTTTCAAAAAAGTAAAAAAGGCATCGTCTACATCCTGCATGAGTGTTTAACACGATTTCCCGGCTTCTTCCATCCACACTCAAACCGTTCAAAGTGTCTCGCCCCCACTGATCTGTGTGCTGTCCAGAGGCATGCTCGCAAATCCATACACAAGCCAGGAGTTTTTTTGGAAAATCTCATTTTAATACGAGCGTGGCCTCTGAGCCGTCCTTCTTCTTCAGGTAAAGTCCATACGTGAGGTGGTGCTCCCTCCGCAAGAAGGCGTAGAAGTAGTCCGACACCAGCAGTATCTGAGGAGGTGCAGGGGGAAACAAGCACAGATTAGGCCTGGTAGCGTTGGTCATTTAGTCGTTTAGTGAGTTGAGCTCCTCCCAAATTTGTATTTGTATTATTTGAATACATGCATTTTTCTGCTACTGGACACCTGAATTTCTACGAGGATCAATAAAGTCTCTATCTATTCATCTATCTACACTGAAATTTCCCCACTGAGGGACAATGTGTAAGATTACTATAGCTGGACTCGGATGACCATTTCGATGATTTAAATTTGTATTACTGTATTACTATGGTTAATTGTTTTCTGTGCAGCACTTTGGACACTGTTTGACATTTGTTCTATAAATTAAGTGGACTGGATTAAATCGGTTCATGAATTCCAATGAAATATATTAGTTGACCAATTGTTTTTTGATATATCAGGATTGATGAGAAAGCTTGCAAGACCATTTTAAGCCATCATTGTCATGTACTGTATATGTTAACACCTGCCTCATTTTGGCTTGTGCACAAAAGTTGGGCATGCCCAAATGTCTTTGCTTATTTAAAAACACATCTTACATGTCACATGATTGTGTGAAGCATCATTTTAAAGCTAGAGCCTTCTAGTTTATGTAAATATAATTATATTCATATGACATACATAAAATGACATACATAAAATAATGTATGTCATTCCTATTTCACTCTGCATCCTTTGAAGTTTGGGAAAAAAACTAAAACTTTTTTAGCATCGCCTGAAATATTCAATTTCTAAAGGCCCTAAAAAAGGCATACTTCATTGTAAGCTCACAATATTCCAACCCTATGGTCATTGTGTTGTTGGTAACACTTTTCTAAAGTTTCAGGCATCTAAGTTTTAATGCAGTTTCTCTTTTTCAGCAAGTAGTGCCATTCGCAACCAATTTGGCACAAAGTGTGCCAAATTGCTTTACTGACTTTTCATCATCATAAAAAAACATATTTTGTTTTTGGTACCTATACATTACTAATCTGGGTGATTTAAAAAAAAAACCCCATTAAATTTAATTTTTTAGTCTTTACGCACAGCTCTAGAGGCAGAGTTTAACAGAGTTCACTTAAGTCCCACCCATCACTAGAAATGTTTCCTTATTGGCTACACGGACATGTCAATCATTCGGCAAAAGGCCAATCCCCTAGCTGGCTGGCAAACAACAAACACAAAGGGGTTGTGCGCAAAAGGGAGTCGCTTGTTTTATTCACATTTAATTTTTATTTCTTTATATTTGAAGCTGAAATGTGGCGAAATGTTGAAAGGTTCAAGGGGGCCGAATACTTTCGCAAGGCACTGTATAATAATAACGGCTGCATGTCTTCTCTGCCTATGTTTGCTCTTTTTAGATCAAAACCACCTTCAACATCAACAGCAGCTCATTAGACACAGGCGAAACGCGTTGTTTTAAATATTGGAACAGCGCCGGAGAATGCGTGAGAAGAAAGCCGAAGGGAACATGTGCGCAATACAAAGAGCGCTCGAGCCCCCTAGCTGTAGGGCATAGAAGGTGAACATTAAGATAAGATAAGATAAACCTTTATTCGTCTCGCAGTGGAGAAATTTCAGTTTCATTGTTGCATATTACAGCAGAGAAAGAAGGAAATAAGAGCACACAAATTGCACACATCAAATAAGTCTATTATTTGATGTGTGCCATCCAAGAGAGAAAACCAAGAGCTAACAAACTCACTCTCTTTATTAAAAAAAAAAACAAAAAACATTGTTTTACTACAACATGGACATGTGAACAGTATAAACAGAATCGTTTCATCACATTCAAATGGTTACCCAACAGCCCACTGTCCTTCATGAAGAGCCTTTAGCAGCCTAGCTGAAGAGGCACCCTTTTTTGTTAGGCAGTCTGCAAGTTGGTCTTTAATTTCTGACCACATCACCAGTTGAACCATTTTGTTTTTGATCAGTTCTTTTATAGAACTAATTTCCAAGCGTAGTCTCTTTTCAGTGCATCAACAAGAGAAAAGTTATCAGTAACCCAGATTATTGGCACGCTGTGATCTGTACAACCTGCACTCAGCTCAGAAAACAATGTAGAAAGGAAAATGGCATTGTTAACTCCCTCAGACATTGCTTATTCATTTTGACTGCCATGATATTGGAGAGAAGTGTCCATTGTCACCCATTAATGCAATAAGGGTTGCTTCATTAATGGTTTGTATAGTAGACTGCTTAAGATTTGATTTGAAGTTACTAGCATCAAACATGACATCAGGTCTGCTATGTCTGGCAAACCACAACAGTTGCCCTATCTTAGATCTTAGAGGGTCTCTCTCAGTTTCTGTGAGCAATGTGCTTGGCTCTGCAGTTGCCTGGCCTGCCAAACGATATGCTTTTTCAAAGACATATAGTCTGGGAACGAGCTTGATCTCAGCGAATTCCCGGTGGGCGTGGTTGACAGACTGCATCAACCAATTAGATGCACACAGGATATGACGCAGCAACTAGCGGCACCCAAGCCGTTTCAGTAAACACAAAACAAGGGATGGCGGCATGTCAGCTAGTGCAAATGTAAACGACTGCTGTCGATTTTGTAACAAAAACTTAAAGATACGAGGAGTTATTAGCAACTCAAAGGTGAAAGGAAGTCCCGCCTCTCGGTGCGTGATTGGACCGATGTGGGTAAAATCGTGAAATGATAGGCTAGGAAGAGGTGTCCAGACGGTTCTTCTTTTGAACAGAAAGGAGGAGTGTCTGGCAGGCCAGGCAAGCTCTGCAGCCCGTGAAGGAGCAAGAGGAATGGGCTGTAAATGCTCAATATATGTTTCTTGTTGAATTTTGACTTTTTGGCCTGAAGTATGAAGAAGATGACAAAGTCTGGGATCGTGTCTTTCATTCAGCCAGAAGACATGTTTTTTTTGTCAAGGGTTGAGACAGCATGGAGACCTCCAATCAGCAGCTGCCACAGTGCCAGCAGAGATAGTCAAAACAAGTATTGGAAAAGTACAGGCTTCTGGACATTGATAGAATGATGAGTTTAACTTTAACAAAAGTTGCTTTAAAGTGTTATGAAATCTCACAGTATGTAACAACATGTTTTCAAATAATCTGAAGACGGAATGTTGTGGTCTGATTTGCTCACATTTTTTCCCTCTTACTCGACACTGTTGGGGCAAGCAATGTTATTTATGAACAAAGTACTACCCCAGCTTTAAGTGTGGATAAAATTCTGTTGGCTCTGCTTTAGGGATACAGTAAAAAACGTTGAATTTTCATGACCGACCACCGAGCCTCATTAACCGGTTGAAACCAGTTAACCGCGTAGTTTAAAATAGTCCCCGTTCTTTGAAATAACAGCCATTTCGAGCCACGTACTCTCCATAAGTGCAGCTCTGCGTTCTACTGGATCAGAGCCGAGAAAGCGGCGCCAAAACCCGAAACAGCTTTGGGCTCCGTAACACAGAGGAGTGCGACACACCGGTATGTGTGCGTGTACATGTATGTGTGTGTGTGTAAATGTAAACTCCAATGTAAACTCCAATGTAAATTCCAACTCCAACTAGCAGGAGGTAACAGAGGGGAGAGATGATGCGTGTGGATGTTATGTATCAATGGAGGGGGGGAAAGTGTGTGCGTGTCTGTGCACACATGTGTCCGTGTGCATGTGTGCGTGCATATGTGGTGTGTGCGGCGTGAGAGGCGGCCCGGAGTTTACTGTAACATTGGCGCACTCAGCTAGATATGGATCTGCTCGTCACATCGTGCGAATAGGGCTTAAAATAGCGTTATGAAGAGACCTTTGACCGGTCAACCACCGGTGTGACGGTCAACCACCGGTGTGACGGTCAACCACCGGTGTGACGGTCAACCACCGGTGTGACGGTCAACCACCGGTGTGACGGTCAACCACCGGTTAAACGGTCACCGATTTACATCCCTACTCTGCTTAAAGCTCTATTCACCATTCCATGACAGAGGTCAAAAATATATGCATGTGAAAACTAGTGACAGAAACAAACTGTTTTCAGAGTGAAGAAATAGTTCCAAATTGTGAATTTTGTTGTGTTTGAACTTTGAAGAGAAGCAACCTGGGGTACCTATAATATTCAAAGTTATCTTTAATGTCACACTATGGTAAATTGTTTTTTCAGGGCGAACATCTAAAACAGGCAGACAGTCAAATCATAACAATGAAGATAACAAGAAAAGGATGTCACAAAGCTAATTTCAGTGCAAATATGCTGTAGTATGCGAGGTGCTTCACAGTGGATAAATGTAGTTCCCAGAAGTACATGTTTGTACTGTACTTCTGTGGTCAGCACAGAGCAGCTCACCTGTGCCACGTTGAAGAGCAGAGTGATGGCGTAGTAGAAGTTTGAGTTGGCGCTGCCTGCGTAGATCCACAGATGCCACAGAACGGGGAACAGGGCAGAGCAGGCAATCAGCACGCACGACACCAGGAAGATGTTCCGCAGGACTGCAAGGCACAATGGAAAGGCACTCGTTATGGGATATGTTCTAAACGGCTGCTATTTTACTGGAAAATCACCCACACAGACAGTACATTTATTTTATACATGTCAAACTCTGAACATTAGAATATTGTTTAACCGTTTAATGGTTTCCTCAACTGATAGTGGAATTGTTGTTGGGTTATCATTAAAGTGAATGTAAGTATAATCTAGATATAATATAGTCTAGACAACTTTTCGTTTGACCTACATTGGAATGTGAAATTTACCAGTGAGGTGTTGAAACCAAAGCTAATAATTATCTACATTGTCCACATTGGGGTCTTTTGTGTGAAATGATGTTGCAAGACGTTGTCCAACAAGTGGTTACCATTTAGTAGATCACTGTTTAAAGTCACTATATCTAGTTTGGAACTGAAATATGCCTCTTTGGGGCATCTTCATTTATTTATTTGTTTATTGTGGATGGCCCCTTGAGATGAATCATCTCTTTTTCGAGGGGGTCCGGCATCTCACTTGGTATTCGGTACTTTTACCATTAAACTGTATCTCAACCATTAGGTAAAGCCCTATAATACACACAAAAAAACATATTTTTATGTGACATTTAAATTTCTCCTGTGTGAGATCAATCTTATCATGTTAGAAGAAGAGCAGAAGGTCCTTTATTTGTCCCACAGTGGGGAAATTTGATGAATACACATACACAACAAGGCATGCAGCTCCTTATTGGCAAAGTGGGAAAAGTGTCTTGCCCAAGGACACAACGACAGCAGACATCAGTGGAGTCGGTGGAGAAGGTCTCGTGGTCGGCTCAAACCCACCTTCAGGCTCAAAGGCTCTACCAACTGAGCCACTGTCACCCCATTCCCACGCAAGAAAATAACCCTTACTATTGATGGGCCTCATTCACAAACTGTTCTTAAGAACAAATTTGTTCATAAAATCCTACTTACGAGGATTTTACAAAGATTGTGGCATTCATGATTTTTTCTTTTACCCAGGATTTCCAAATCCTACAAATACTCAAGAGCACTCTTATAAGGTACACAGTGTGTGGTTTGTAGACTCACATCGGTGCAGGTGGCTCCAGAGGGGTAGCAGAGCCAGGTACAGGGCCATGTCTCCCACCGTGGGGTACGACTTAAAGATGGAGATCACAGCCAACTGCATGAACATGAGGAACACCGGCTGCTCCCTGGTAACCCAAAAATGCCTTAGTACGATGACGGCAAAATAAAGTGAATAAGACAATTCAAAACAAGATCTAGGCTCCTTGTTAGTGTCTTTTATTGTGACAATAACACCATGTTTCAAGATCATCTTTTGAGTAAGTCTAGTTTCATGGCAACTGTACTTCTGCACTTTGGCTGAAGTGTCACTCACAGATGAACCATAGACAGTAAATATTCACGGACGTAGTCACACCTCTCTCCGTCATCACTTTTGGCTTTTATGGGTCTTTTTCCCCTCCAGCAAGAAAATGTGAAAAAACGCATTGGGGCATGCGTTAGCCGGCACTAGCCCCATTAATTTAACAAGTGCCTTCTGAAGTCCACAGTGGCTAAACTAGAGTGGTCCAAAAAACATACTCCCCTCAGCATTGACACACATCTGGGAAGTAGCTTTGGGCCATGAGTAGAATTTTGGACCATCCTGTAAAGCCGTTTTTGAGAGGAAAGACTACGCCATACAAAAGCATTGGATAAGTCTCTTTCTGGGTCCACCCCCATCGGCCCGGGGTGGAATTGTCCGGGCCGAAGCTACACCATGTCAGGCGTCAGTCGACTGCCTTACACTGATTGGTCACTGGAAGCGACGTCCGACCCTTTGGGTAACAAAATGTGAGGAGATTACCAACTAGCAATGAGTGACCAGAGTACTTAACATTTCCTTCATCTGGACCTGGTCTCAAGAGACATACGTACTTTGGACTTTGTAAACTGTTTGTTTTGCACTTTACTTTAATTTTTAATAAATCTGTGATTGTATCAGGACTTCATTTCATTCATTTGTCTGTACACGTGCAGAAAAGCAAAAGTTATGATTTCCTACCACATACTTTCACTTCTTTTTACATTACATACATTATATTTGTCAGTAAATCCGTCTAACCGTGGTAAATTTATGAACAAGGATGGAGACATGCTAAATATAAAAGTTTTAATAAATGTTTAGGCAAAATAAATGTTTAGGCATATGAAAAAGTTATGCATCAGACCCTCCTCTGCACCACTGCTACCACAAGCTGCTGTTGCTACATGTATTTCCCATTCTGTCACATGGTCTCTCCATGGTTTTCGCACAGATTGTACAAAGCACAGCAAGTCAGCACCTAATAGATCCATGGGTCAGCACCACTGACTACACATGTTCAGTGTCCGAGTCATTCCTTTAAGACTGCCGAAAGCCACTCGCGCTGTGCTGAATTTTCTATTAAATACTTGCTGTTCGTCTGTCACTCGCCCGGTGTCCTGAATAGGTTTTAGGGGCCAGTTCTGCAGGGGGTAAGAAGAGTCCCCTAGGAGTTAATGACCAGCTATGACCGATATTATAATAAATCCATGCACCGCACCAATGTTACTGGTTACACATCACGCGGAAATGACGTGGTCTGACAATCCCTCCCACGCTGAAGAGGTACTATTTTTAATGGAAAAGCACACGCACACGGTACCATACAGTTACTGTGGAAAAGCGGCATGAGATTAACATGGGAACGGTGCAGTAGGGAACAGTGCAATAGGGAACAGTGCAGTAGGGAACAGTGCAATAGGATGAGTGCAATAGAATATCTCAACTGTCTCGCATGTCTGTATGTGTTCAGCTCTCCTTGTACATGTCCTGTATATAATCTTGTGTACATTGTATTCTTTGCATGATTTGTATTGTTAGGTCTTGTTTTTTTATGTTTTTCGTTAACATCAACCTGCCAGGGGGTCTGCAGATGGAAATTAGCCTAAGGCTATAATCTGGCATATTTACATTGGTTAAATGTTCATTAATATGCATTGTACCTCCTTTTAAAACTCATCGTGGGTTTCAAAGGCAGATCCCCATGGAAGAGCAGCTACACTCATTGAATTCTTCGTCTGTGGGCCAAATAGTGTCATCACATAATTACAAAGGCTGATTTGCTGTTTGGATGTCTTTTTCCTGTCAATCACCTCGTAAGAAAGTGATGCCACGTCACAAAGTGAATGAAGTCGTTTTGCTGCCAATTGCTCGCCAACTAAAGCCTGAGGGAGTCAATGAAAAAACTACTTTGGGCATCTGTTTGAAGGCAAAATAGCGCTGTAATGATGTTTAAGGCATTACAGTGCTATTTAGTCATTATTGTAAAAATACAAAAAACATTCTTAAATCGAGTCCCGGCCCAAGTTTTTATATGATAAGATGTGCAATTTGCATGATCCTAGCGACGCCCAGTGTCATATTTTATCATTTTATTCTTGAACATGATTCCATATATTAGCAACATCTGTGTGAGATTTCATAATTATGTAAGACACTGATTACATAGGTAAGATCATCCATGGCTAACATAGAGGAAAAATATCAGAAATGTGGATTCACTCAACATCATATCTCTTCAAACCCAATTGCTCCATCTTGAATTTCCTTAATTTTGAAATTTTTGTCAGTTATAATTCCAAGTGTTATGTAAAGCGTAGTGAGTGTTAACAAAGCACATACATGCGTATACTACAGCCACCAATTGTGCAAGTTCCCCCACTCAAAAAGATGAGGGAGGCCTGTAATTTTCCCCTTTAGGTATACCTCAACTATGAGAGACAGAATGAGAAAAATAAATACAGAAAATCACATTGTCTAATATCTTGCAAAATTATGTGCTAATTATGGTGGAAAATAAGTGTTTAGTCAATATCAAAAGTTAATCTCAATACTTTAATATATACCCTTTGTTGGCAATGACAGAGCTCAAACATTTTCTGTAAGTCTTCACAAGGTTGAAGCAGTGATGTTTTGGGGCTCTCGCTGGGCAAGACAGACTTTCAACTCCCTCCAAAGATTGTCTAAGGGGTTTAGATCTAGAGACTGGCTAGGCCACTCCATGACCTTGAAATGCATCTTACAAAGCCTCCTTTGTTGCCCGGGCAGCGTGTTTGGGATCATTGTCATTTATTCAAAATCTCACAATTAGGGCTGTCAAAATTATCGCGTTAACGCACGTTGATTACATGTTTCATTAATCGCGTAATTATTTTTTTTGACGCATTAACGCATGTACTGAATGACACGCCCATGTATCCTATAATATCACTGAGAATGACCCATGTATCCTTTAATATCACTCAGAATGCCACGGACACATGCACGTGTGAGATGGGAACAGAGCAGGCAGGCCCCCCGGGAACCCAAGTCCACAAGGAAAAGGCGCGTGACCGCGGGGCACCCGCCGCCTGCTGCATGAACTGAAGTCCGCATGCTCCGCGGCCACCCCGGACAGAGGCCCCCACCTCCAGCGGCCGCGAGCCGCCAAAAACAACACGGCGAATAGCGCAGCGGCAATGCGGCCATACAAGACCACACACGCACAGAACCACTCTCCGCACGCCGTGTGTGCGTCCCCGCGCATGCTGCAAACACACCACTGAAGCTGGGCCACGCCTCCCCCACGTACCCCCCAAAACCAAAGCTGGTTTTACTTTAGGGCACAACCAACATGACCTACTTGTGCCCTAAAGTAAAAGGTTGTGAATAAAACAGATTTAAGTACATTTGGTATGAATGACAATGTGTCATTACATTTGATAATCTCATTTAACTTCAAATGGAGTGGAATTGGAATAGAATAAAAATATGTAAAAATGCGATTAATCGTGAGTTAACTCACCATTACTATGCAATTAATCAACTAAAAAAATTTAATCATTTGACAGCTCTACTCACAATACATGGCCCCATTCATTCTTTCCTTTACATGGATCAGTCGTCCTGGTCCCTCTGCAGAAAAACAGCCACAAAGCATGACGTTTCCACCACCATGCTTCACAGTAGGTATGGTGTTCATTTGGATGCAACTCCTCCAAACATGACGAGCTGAGTTTTTACCAAAAAGTTCTACTTTGATTTCATCTGACCATATGACATTCCCCCAATTCTCTTCTGGATCATCCAAATGCTCTCTGGACAGGACATGTACTGGCTTAAGCAAGGAGACACGTCTGGCAATGCAGGGTTTGTGTCCCTGAAGGCGTAGTGTGTTACTGATGGTAGCCTTTGTTACTTTGGTCCCAGCTCTCTGCAGGTCATTTACTAGGTGTTTCTGGGATTTTTGCTCACCGTTCTTGTGATCATTTTGACCTCACGGGGTGACATTTTGCGTGGAGCACCAGATCAAGGGAGATTATCAGTGGTCTTGTCTTCCATTTTAAAATAATTTCTCCCACAGTTGATTTAGAGTTTTTCCTTGCCGATGCAGGAGGGTCTGTTGGACAGTTTGTGTGAAGGACTGTGGTGACGATCCAGGAAAAAAAAATTCTACATCATGTATGGACATTTAACAACATTCATGGACTCTCCCTATGGTCCAATACGTACGTGTATTTTCTGTGTCTCAACTGTTGATTCTCTGATCTGTGTTGGTGATTTCAATAGTTTTGTCAAGTCCTTCGAGATGACTGCGATTGTGATTTAGGGCTATACAAGAATAAATTGTATTGTATTTCTTCAAACCAAGCTGCTTACCTAGCCTGGTGCAGATCTACAATTTTGTTTCTGGTTTCCTCTGAAGCTCTTAAGTCTTGGCCATAGTGGAGTTTGGAGTGTGACTGTTTGAGGTTGTAGACAGGTGTTTCTTACATACTGATAACGAGTTCAAACAGGTGCCATTAATACAGGTAACAAGTGGAGGACAGAGGAGCCTCTAAAAGATGCTATACCCGATTTTTTTTTTTAATGAGTTCATAAAAATGCTTTGTACTACAACACAAGTTGTATTATAATCTAATTTAATTGAAAACTTGAGCTCATTGATTCAGTTTGTGTATGAATTAAGGCCGTAAAAAGTGCTGAGTAGAGACTTTAGCGTGACGCCCGCTCTCCTCCACTCACAGAACGAGGCTGCATCCTCTAGCCTCTACAGCGCTGCTAAACACAGAAGCGTTAGCAAAATTGGCTATAACTCCTCTTGCTGTAACTGCAGACACAGCAAAACAGCCCAAACGACACAACAGTGAGGAAGAGAAGAGGGAACTAAAGCGAAAAAATTATCAAAGAAGAAATCAAGCCCGGGTGAACATAGCTAGCGTTAGCTTAATTCGTATCCTCTGGAGCAGGGGTGCTCACACTTTTTCAGCATGCGAGCTACTTATAAAAGGATCAAGTCAAAATGATCTACCTACTACAAAAATGCAAATCATATATTTATTTCAAAAAATATTCTTTATATCTACAATGTATGTTTATGTACATGCAAAACCGCATGAGCCAATATAGCACAACACAACACAATTACCTATGTACATTTTTTGTCATTACCCGAGTTTACTCTTATGACTTGCACTGAATTGAATCGGCCAGGGATGCATAGTCCGGAAAATTGGTGGCGACTCGCTGGCAAGTTTGTCGTGGTGTAGCTTTCCTGCACTGAGCGCGGTTGTTTGCGCATGTGCAGTCACCTAAGTGTCAGTAAAACATTACTGAGTAAAACACAGATGTCATTTGACTGTGGTGCCATGTCCATGTGCCATGCCTGTTTTTTTTAAATCCAAATATTTCCCCTCAGTTTATAAAATAATTTGCATCCACACATCTGCGTTATCAATCACATTCGTAACATTCCAAACATGTGCGTCTCTTACGTCCTGTCCTGCGTTGGGGAAAAACACGGAAGTGGGCGGAGCTTTGATGCAGACGCCGGTAACGGCACTTTTACAGTCATAGAAGACACGAGTAAAGAGTAAGACGTATGTTTACAAGCACTGACCCCGTCCTCAGCCCTGGTTTAGTCCTGGTTTAGTCCTGGTTTGGTTGTTTTCGAGCGTGAGTCCCCACGATCACTTTGCTGCTCTCTGATGTGGAGCGAGGATGTTTGCTGCTGCGAGCATCTCACAGCGAACAGTTTTTAAGGTAGTATGATCCATGCTTCAGTGATCAGAGGAATTTAGGGGGGTACTGTGGCGTGCGAGAACGCAAAACTCCGGTTATCTCTGTCTACACACAAATGCATTAAAGGGGACATATCATGAAAAATCCACTTTTTGTGTCTTAAATGCCTTATGTTGTGTAGTTGGAGCCTCTAGAAGTGCAAAAAAGTTGAAATCAGTCTCTTCATGGGTTGCAGAGAACACTTTTAGGTAAGATATTTCAACCCGTTCTGATTTTGCCATTCTCTATTACGTGTTTAGAATTATTACGTCACAGTATTTGCAGCGGGACTGCTATATAAGGGCATGGGCGTCTAACAAAACACTTCGGCCCAGCCCTCCTCTACTGTTCATCACTTCAAATTTGTAGTCCAAGCTCAAGGATGCCAGTGCACAGGGCTGGACTGGCCATCGGCCGTACCGGGCAATGCCCAAAGGGCCGATGCCCATATTTGGGCCGGTCTGTCTGCCTCATACAAAACACATGTTTATGAGAAGTGTAAATCCGTTGAGAATTGTTCGAGGGGGCGCGCGTATCCGCGGGGCATCTGCTGTATGTACTCGAACGGGATTCCGCCACCTCAGCGGCCGCAGTGTTCTGGGGCATCTGCGGCCGCTTTGTAATGCGGCTGCGAGAGGCTGTGAGCGTCCAGCCGCTCGCAGGCTCCACCGTGTTGTGGCTGAGCGCGCAGCCTCAACGTGGCCATGTACCCAACCCCATAAACGCGCACAGGACCATGCGTGTCTTTGAGTAATCTGTGAACCCAATAAATACACTGCTGCAGGAAACAGTCCGCGTCTCCCCTCTCCTCTCGAAGCGCGATTAAACACCCTAAATAAAGCTCTGATACCTACATTTTGCAATGCATTAAAAACTCATGTTTGAGCCCAAAAGTAATATGTTGTGAACAAATTAAACAGATTTAGAGCCAGCAAATGGCTGACAATATGCATTTCAGTCTTTTTTGACCAATTCTCATTCTCACAATAGTGTTGTCTGTGTCCACCTCCCTCACTCTGAGACATGTTCATTACTCTCTTGTAATGTAGACTATTGCATTTTATTTTATTGTTGAAACTGCACATATCCTGATCATCTACCGTATTTGCTTCCACATACTGTATAAACTAGGAGTCGGCAACCTGCGGCTCCGGAGGTGCATGCGTCTTTTTCCTTCTGTAGAAGGAAAAATTTTCTTAACGTTTTTAAATGCTGTAAAATTGTGCATAAGTAATATTCAATTTAAACATTTCTGTCAACGTAGTGCGTCTTATCCTGCGACGTAGGCCAGCGCAAGGCGGTCGCTGTTGTAAACAAACCGGCATGTGAGCTCTGCTTGTGTACAAATCTCTCCATGGCCTCGCTCCAAAATATATTAGTGACATGTTAGTACCATACGAACCAGCCCGGACTCTGAGGAGCACAGGGACTGGACTCCTGCTGGGACTCTGAGGAGCACAGGGACTGGACTCCTGCTGGGACTCTGAGGAGCACAGGGACTGGACTCCTGCTGGGACTCTGAGGAGCACAGGGACTGGACTCCTGTTAGGTGCCCAGAGTCAGAACTAAACATGGGGAGGCTGCTTTTCAGATTCATGCTGCTAAAATCTGGAACAGTCTTCCTGAAGATGTGAGACAGGCCTCCTCTCTGACAATGTTTAAAACCAGGTTAAAAACAGTTCTGTTTAGCTGTGCATACAACTGAGGGATTTTATATTTTTATCTTTCTTTTTAATGTTCTGTGATTATTTATGATTTTAATGCTTTCATATTTTGTTCAGCACTTTGAATTGCCTTGTGTATGAATTGTGCTATATAAATAAACTTGCCTTTCCTTGCCTTGACTGTGCGCATGGATCCCAAAGCTAAAAAGAGAAGAGTCGATAATAAGACTGGACTAAGAATGAAAATTAACATTTGCTTTCAGTCAATGAGGAAGGACTGCTTCATGTTTGCGATGTAATGAGAAGTTTCTATGAGATAATTGTATCTGTGCTTAGAAACTACAAAAATGGCCTCTCGGGGTGGAGTTTAACCTGTGTCACCTTGATGGGGGGGGGGGGGTTGCTCTCAGACGCACCTCAGAACAGGTGTAGAAGAAAGGCCCGTGTAGCTACAAATAATGAGACTCAAACCCAGGCATTGCAGTTACGCTTTATATAGGCCACAAATTAATGATTTAGATGTAAAAATCAATTATTTGAAAACACGATATGTCCACTTTAACGGAGTTTTCAAAAATCTCCACTTTGCCCGGAGTTTTTTGTATATATTAGTTTAGAATGTGTAATTTTTTATTTATTTAATGCGATCTACCAATACTACCTTTGCGATCGACTGGTAGATCGCGATCGACGTATTGAGCACCCCTGCTCTGGAGAGACATGTCTATGGGAGAAACCTGCGGGACTGCCTCGGACTACATTCGGACACGGAACTAGCGGTAATCTTTCAGTTATACATTTCGTTAGGAGTGTGCGGCTTTTGTACCATTTCATCAGTGATTGTTGTACAGCTTACAAGAAGTTGCGCTCATGCTAACGTTTGCATATAGATCACAAACAAAACTAGATGGCTCCGTGGAATGAGAGCGTAGGGGAAATGAGAAGCCTGTGAGTGAGTTGGGGGGGCGGTGCAAAACATTCAAACCTTGCAGAAACGGGTATAGCTCCTTTAAGGAAGCTGTTACAAATCTGTGAGAGCCAGAAATCTTGCTTGTATGTAGGTGACCAAATATTCCACCATAATTTGCAAATAAATGCTTTAAAAACCAGACAGATGTGATTTTCTGGATTTTAGTTGATGAGTACATATTCTCTTTTTAAGTGGAAGAACTTGCACAATTGGTGGCTGACTAAATACTTTTTTGCCCCACTGTATTAATGTTTATTATTATTTTGTATTCTTCATATTCTAATATATGGAGCATACCCATAACACCAACCATTATGAAATGCCCCTGTAACTCCAGAGTCAGCCTTTGGAGATTGTGGCTTACTTGAGTTTGATGGAGAGAGGAATGGTGTAGAAGAAGACGTTGATCTGAAAGACGCAAAGGAAGAACAACCTGAAGTGCTCGAACATCTCTGCGAAGAAATACCAGAAGAGGCCGATGTTTGGAGTGAGGTCTGGAACGGACAAACTGCGGAGAGAAAAATCAGTCAACTGTTTTAAAATGACAATAAGTGTGACAGAATATTCACAAATAAACTACTTGGCTGTAAATGAAATTGGTTTGTTGTGTTGTGCTACTGCTTACCCAGGCAAAACAATTGGAAAAATTGAGGGAGAGGGGTAGGAGCCAAATAAGTTTACTTTTCCTACTGTGTATTTCTGTTTATTTTAATAATAATAATAATATTAATAATGCATCGGTTTTATACATAGACTGTATATATTAACGGACAGAGTCACGCCTATCTCCGCCGTTCTAACTAATGAGCCAAAAGATTTTCTCTACTGGAGCTATCCAAAATGGCGGCGAGTGGTCCCGCCCACAAGAAAATGGTGAAAAAACGCATCTGCGCAAGCGTCAGCTGGCGCAGCTCCATTCATTTGAACGAGAGACTTAAAAAATTCACAGCAAGTAAACAAGAGTGGACCAAAAAATTCACCCCCCTCAGCATTGACACACATGTGTCAATGCTGAGACACGTGGACTTTTGGTCCATCCTGTAAAGACGTTTTCGAGAGGTCTGCCAACGCTATATGTTAGCATTGGCTAATTCTTCTTCTGGGTCCACCCCCATCGGCCCGGGATGGTATTGCAAGCATGTCAGTGCACGTCATTTTGGCCACTTTTGAGCTGGGACCCGCCCCCACTGGTTTTATATAGCGCTTTTCTGGACACTCAAAGACGCTTTACATATCATTATTCTTTCACTCCATATATGATGGTGATAAACTACTATTGTAGCCACAGCTGCCCTGGGGCACACTGACAAAAGCGAGGCAACCAGTATGCGCCATCCCCGCCGACCACCACCAACCGTTCACACACACACCAGACTGTGGGGGTGAAGTGTCTTGCCTAAGGACACAACGGCAGTTTGGCACTTTACAGCCGCCCCACTGTGGCTGGTGTTCCCAGAGGTTAAGTGTCTTGCCAAGGACACGACAGCAGACAGTGGGAGTCGATGGTGAAGGTCGGGCTCGAACCCACGACCCTCTGGCTCAAAGGCCAATGCTCTACCAACTGAGCTACTGTCGCTCATGTAACATTATGTTATATCTTGTTTATTGTTTTATTTTGTATGTAATGTGGGTTTGAATAAATATTTAAATTGTACATGAATCCATAGACTGAGGAGATGAAGTCCCAGGAGCCCAGCAGGAAGAAGGAGAGGCAGATGATGACGGACAGGCTTCCCAGGTAAATGAAGACGTACTGAGCCACGAACCACCAAAAACTGGCCCATCTGTAGTTTACTGGGATGTACAGCCGCTGTGGAGGAGCACGCAAACAATACATCAGGAGGGATGCAAGATTGATGCCAATGCCCTAGTTAGAAAATAAAAGTATATTGGAGGATTTTCTCGAGTTTTAGGAAAGAACCACCCTGGCCACTTTTTTTTTTGTAAGTACATGCGCTACCTACTCCAAAGACGGAAGGCCTACTAAAACCTGCATGATCCCACTTCTCCTCGAGCTAGCTTTGTTTACAAGTCACTGTCTGCATTGCTCACAATAGCTCACTTTCCTTGAAGATTTGCACTCTTTCCACTATGTCAGACAATATATGCCGCTTTTCCACAGTATCAGTACGGTACAGGTACAGTACAGTACGCTTCAGCACGGTTATTTTGCGTTTCCACAAGTGGATGGTATGGGAGATTTGAGTACTTTTCCGTACTGCCTCAGCCTTGGTTCCATCCCCATAGTACCCGTGCTATGACGTCACGTCGGCCCACTGCCTTACACTGATTGGTCAACGAGTGTCGTCACTGGAAGCGACATCTGACCCTTTGGGAAAAACAACTCAACCGCCATCTTTAAAACAGGCTGCTCTGCTTGGCTCTGCTTCGACTACATTACGTCCTCCTCACTCCAGAGAAATGGAATTGCACAGAAAGCCCCAAAAGTCCTGGTCGTGGACAAGGTCCACACGTTCCTCTCTTCAGGCCAAAGAAAGAATTCAAAGGCAGCTCGAGGCTCAACACAGTTTTCAGGGAGATCACCCAGCTCTGGATTTGTGACTAGTCTGTGGTAATCCAGGATATAACTGGTTAGATACAAATCCCGTTAAAGCTCTCACTGAAATGTATTTACTGTGTAAATGCTCGATTGTCTGTTGTACACAGTGAGCTAGCTACATTTAGCTTCATTTAGCTATTGATAGCAGCTAAGCTAACGTCCTCCCTGTGCTACTGTGCTTTATCTCGTATTATTATACGGCTCCTCACAGCAGCAGTAGAATGCTCCATTGATTTGAATGTAATTTCAAAACGTTCTACCGGTCATTATTTTCTATAACGGACCTCTCAAAACAATAATGACCGCTGCCCATGGCAACGCACTCTCTGCTTGTATTTCAAATGCGTGGATAACTCCGCAAGTAGTTCCGGCCACTCCTGAGCTCGCCTCGCTCAATCAACACACTTAAATGTTAATCGGAGAATACTTATACATATACATTCTTCACACACGTGCACGGAAATTTTCAGAATTTTCTGGTCTTGTCTTCATGACAAAAATACTATTTCTCTGCGTCAAAAAGCGATCGTGAAAAACCCGGAAGTAGTTCCGGTCGCTCAATAAACGCAAATGCCAATCAATCAACGCAATGAAATGTTTATCGGAGAGTGAATTATACATATCCAGTCTTAATACAAGTGCACGGAAGTTTTCAGAATTTTCCGTTTACGTTTTCATGACAAAAACACTGATGTAATGCGAGAAAAGGCGATCCCGAAAAACCCGGAAGTAGATACCGGCACATTTTAAGATACCGGCACATTTTCGGACACATTTGCAGAGGATCGAATTATGGATTTAGGTTAGGTTTATGTATGGGTCACTCACCGCTGATGTTCAGAATTCTTTGTTCAGTTTTCATGCAGTTCCAGAGAGTTCTAGTTTGGAAGTTGCCAGCCTAACTGTTGCTAGCATAGCCACAATTGTCAAAGCCACACTGCCTGCCCGCGGTTGCCGAGCAACGGGAAAACTTTTTGGGACTACTTTATTTGTTGTCATTAAATAAACTTTTGGCATTCATAAAAGTGATCTGAAGTTTATTTTGTGTGTTAAGTTGGTACAAAGCAGTATAATAAGCGGGATAATGTATAGCATACAGGTCATTATCGGAAAATAAGTACCTTCAGGGCGATTATTTTCCGATAATGACCTGTATGCTATACATTATCCCTTACTTATCTGCAGTATTCACGTGTTGTCATTCTGTTTTGTGCTTGTATTTAAGTTGTCGTGTTTATATTTGTATGAGAATCCCTTTCCATAAGTGTGGAGATTACCATCGAGTAATGAGTGACCGGAGTATTCTCATCTGGACCTGGTCTGGACCTGGTCTCAGACATACGTACTTTTGACTTTGTAAACTGTTGGTTTTGCACTTTACTTTTGTTTTCAATGAATCTGTGATTGTATCAAGACTGTGTTTGATTCATTTATTATTATTGTAGCTGAGGTTTGGGTATCGATTGTCTGGTCTTGGAGTCTGCTGTAGTCCGGACTACCCTAGCCTAGCCGCTAACTCACTACCCCTATGGCTGCCGCTGTCTCTCCCTCAGTCCTTTACTGCTCGAGTTGCCATATGACGAGTTTAAACCCTGGATCCTCCTCTGATGGTAGTGATAGATGTGTTAAGTGTAGTATAGTAGAAGCTTTGGAATCCAGGGTTAGTGAGTGAGCCGAGTCTAGAGCTAGCGCTAGCATTCGCTATAGCCTAGCAGTATCCTCGGACATGCAGCCCTCCTCCTCTGCACACACAGGCTGCTGTTGCTAAAGGTCCCATTCAGATTGTACAGAGCAGTCAGCACCATTGACTTCACAGTTTCTGAGTCATTCTTTTAAGACGTAAGCATTTTCAAAAATTACTCGTGCTGTGCTGAATTTTCTATTAAACACTATAATAAATACATGCACCGCACCAGTACTAGTTACGCGTCACACGTAAATTACGTAGTCTGACAACGCTGAGGACATACTGGGGGTACTATTTTTGATGGAAAAGCACGCGAACTGGGCCATTGCGCGCCGTGTAGAGTCAAAACGTACCGTGCTAGGACTGTGGAAAAACGGCATTTGACGTAGATACAGTGCCTTGCGAAAGTATTCGGCCCCTTGAACCTTTCAACATTTCGCCACATTTTAGGCTTCAAACATAAAGATATAAAAAAATGTTTTTGTCAAGAATCAACTACAAGTGGGACACAATCGTGAAGTGGAACGAAATTTATTGGATAATTTAAACTTTTTTAACAAATAAAAAACTGAAAAGTGGGGCGTGCAATGTTATTCGGCCCCCTTGCGCTAATACTTTGTAGCGCCACCTTTTGCTGCAATTACAGCTGCAAGTCGTTTGGGGTATGTCTCTATCAGTTTTGCACATCGAGAGACTGGAATTCTTGCCCATTCTTCCTTGCAAAACAGCTCGAGCTCAGTGAGGTTGGATGGAAAGCGTTTGTGAACAGCAGTCTTCAGCTCTTTCCACAGATTCTCGATTGGATTCAGGTCTGGACTTTGACTTGGCCATTCTAACACCTGGATACGTCTATTTGTGAACCATTCCATTGTAGATTTGGCTTTATGTTTTGGATCATTGTCCTGTTGGAAGATGAATCTCCGTCCCAGTCTCAGGTCTTTTGCAGACTCCAACAGGTTTTCTTCCAGAATGGTCCTGTATTTGGTTCCATCCATCTTCCCATCAATTTTAGCCATCTTCCCTGTCCCTGCTGAAGAAAAGCAGGCCCAAACCATGATGCTGCCACCACCATGTTTGACAGTGGGGATGGTGTGTTCAGGGTGATGAGCTGTGTTGCTTTTCTGCCAAACATATCGTTTTGCATTGTGGCCAAAAAGTTCGATTTTGGTTTCATCTGACCAGAGCACCTTCTTCCACATGTTTGGTGTGTCTCCCAGGTGGCTTGTGGCAAACTTTAAACAAGACTTTTTATGGATATCTTTGAGAAATGGCTTTCTTCTTGCCACTCTTCCATAAAGGCCAGATTTATGCAGTGCACGACTGATTGTTGTCCTATGGACAGACTCTCCCACCTCAGCTGTAGTTATCTGCAGTTCATCCAGAGTGATCATGGGCTTCTTGACTGCATCTCTGATCAGTCTTCTCCTTGTTTGAGATTAAAGTTTGGAGGGACAGCCGGGTCTTGGTAGATTTGCAGTGGTCTGATACTCCTTTCCATTTCAATATAATTGCTTGCACAGTGCTTCTTGAGAGTTTTAAAGCTTGGGAAATCTTTTTGTATCCAAATCCGGCTTTAAACTTCTCCACAACAGTATCTCGGACCTGCCTGGTGTGTTCCTTTGTCTTCATGGTTCTCTCTGCGCTTTAAACAGAACCCTGAGACTATCAAAGAGTAGGTGCATTTATACGGAGACTTGATTACACACAGGTGCATTCTATTTATCATCATCAGTCATTTAGGACAACATTGGATCATTCAAAGATCCTCACTGAACTTCTGGAGTGAGTTTGCTGCACTGAAAGTAAAGGGGCCGAATAATATCGCACGCCCCACTTTTCAGTTTTTTATTTGTTAAAAAAGTTTAAATTATCCAATAAATCTCGTTCCACTTCACGATTGTGTCCCACTTGTTCTTGATTCATGACAAAAAAATTACATTTTATATCTTTATGTTTGAAGCCTCCGCCAAGGCTGCCCTTTGTCACCGGTTCTGTTCACTGTTTTTATGGACAGAATTTCTAGGCGCAGCCAGGGGCCGGAGGGGGTCCGGTTCGGGGACCACAGGATTTCATCTCTACTTTTTGCGGATGATGTCGTCCTGTTGGCTCCAACGAACCAGGACCTGCAGCATGCACTGGGACGGTTTGCAGCCGAGTGTGAAGCGGCTGGGATGAGAATCAGCACCTCCAAATCCGAGGCCATGGTGCTCAACCGGAAAAAGGTGCCTTGCCCTCTCCAGGTGGGTGGAGAGGTCCTTCCTCAAGTGGAGGAGTTCAAGTATCTCGGGGTCTTGTTCACGAGTGAGGGAAGGATGGAGCGTGAGATTGACAGGCGGATCGGTGCAGCGTGCGCAGTGATGCGGTCTCTGTATCGGACCGTTGTGGTAAAGAGGGAGCTGAGCCGAAAGGCAAAGCTCTCGATTTACCGGTCAATCTTCGTTCCCCCCCTCACCTATGGTCATGAGCTGTGGGTAATGACCGAAAGAACGAGATCGCGGATACAAGCGGTCGAAATGAGCTTCCTCCGCAGAGTGGCTGGGCGCTCCCTTAGAGATAGGGTGAGGAGCTCGGAGTAGAGCCGCTGCTCCTCCACGTCGAGAGGAACCAGTTGAGGTGGCTCGGGCATCTGTTCAAGATGCCTCCTGGACGCCTCTCTGGGGAGGTGTTCCAGGCACGTCCCACTGGGAGGAGGCCCCGGGGAAGACCCAGGACACGCTGGAGAGACTATGTCTCTCAGCTGGCCTGGGAACGCCTTGGGGTCCCCCCGGACGAGCTGGAGGAAGTGTGTGTGGATAGGAAAGTCTGGGCGTCTCTGCTTAGACTGCTGCCCCCGCAACCCGGCAACGGATAAAGCGGAAGAAAATGGATGGATGGATGGATGTTTGAAGCCTGAAATGTGGCGAAATGTTGAAAGATTCAAAGGGGCCGAATACTTTCGCAAGGCACTGTAACTTTAAACCGAACACTTCCAGTATATATTTTACTGGAAGTGATTTGAAATGAATTTCTCCAAATAAAATGCCAAAATGTACCCGTGGAGTAGAAACTTTGCAGCTCAAGCATTACACCGTACATACCGCAAGAGTAGTGAGTGACGCAAGCCTACTCTGTTTGTATTTACTTCCCATTATGAAAGTATATAGAACAAATGATTAATTGAAATAGAACAAGGTTAGACTGATTTACAAATGAATATTCTTAAAAGCCTTTTGGGCTAATTCAGAGCAGTGCCCCTCTATTACCTTCTGCTAGGAATATATTTTGCGAGTCTCGGTAGGATGGTAAGAGGTAGATTATTTCCAAAAACACAATATACTGACCAACCGATACATCCGTCCTCTCCTGTTTTAAGAAGTTCACAATTCCGTGCCGTCTTGACCTACATCTGTTTAAGGCTATGGTTGGTACTAGTCAGGCTTTTTGTTTTCAAATCTTTTTGTTTTAGTTTTCAGAATTATAGCACATGGTAACATCATTCAGGCCACATTCACACAACAGAAGAATTCCAGGACAAATTGAGCCCTGAATCCTTTTGGTGAGAATCTGAACTATACCTTATGTCTAAACGCTGCAGCTGAGCCAACCAGCTCAACGCACTCCTGCAGATGCTCTGAAACTTTGATGGGTTTCAGAGGAGCACATTTTTTGCAAGTGCCTGGCAAAGTGCTGTGTATTCTATAACTAAGTTAAAATAGTACAGCAACGTCCTTCTCAGTCAATTTCTGGTTCAGAATGGATCCAGGACCAGTCCAGGTTCAGACCCATGGTATGAACTTCAGCATGTTTGTCAGGTGCACAGAGAGTTTGTATTTTCGTACACAAGTTATTCTGCAGTGTGAATGAGGATGGAAACTGAGCCAGCACCTAAGATAAATTTGGCCCAGTATAACTGAGGTGAATTGTTCTGCTGTAAAGGGACTACAGATACAGCCACGGTGATTAAAAGTAGAAGAAAAATACCCTAAATTAGGGTCTAAACGTCCCAGGGCTGGTCAAGTTAAGAAAAAGTATTTTTTAATCACTGTGGGTCAATCTGATCCAAGGATAGCAAGGGATAAAAAAATTCAGTAACTGGCCTACCTGCATGATATGGAGCATGGCTGGAGCGCAGAGTGTGATCGGATAGATGGACTGATACGTAGCCAATGCCAGAAAGATGGCACTCAACAAAGTATTTTCTGTGAAACAAACACATTTTATTTATCATATAAAATAAAATAAACTATTGCCCTTATTTTATCAAATAAAATGAATAAATTGCGGCCTACAAACATGCAAAAATGAGTTCAACCTGTCATAAGGACTTAAATATCAAAATGTTCACAAAATGACTACACATTACTTTTCATAGTGCAGAGGAAGAACAGGGCCAGTATGGCATTGTTGAGTCCGCAGGTGGATTTGGCCACACAAGACAAAATGGTGAAGGGGTTCAGCATGTAACTAAAGACAGACAACGATGAAGAATATTTCTCAGTTTGTCAATAGGTGCTTTTGTAAGATTAGTAAAAAGTCAAACTTACAACATGGCAACTTTGAGAGGAATATAGTACATTTGTGTGGGGCTCCGGACCAGCTCCAGACAGTCCATGGGGTAGCGATCTGCCTCCAACTCAAAACGCTGCTGTTTCAACTGCAGAGAAAATGTTTGTATTAAAACTGGACTATTTTTCTTTGCTTCATAAATACTTTTGGTTTGTCCCAAAAAAGACGTTAAGTGACATTTAGTGAACAAATGAGACCACAACAGGTTATGTTGTAACATGCTTATTAGAAAACATGTTATCTTTTACATACTGAGACCTGATTGGCTGAATGAGTTACTGATACTCTCTTCTCACTGAGGAAGCTGATCTAAAGATGTGACAGAGGACAAAAATACATAGAACCAAAGAGTTTTAACAGCAAGGAACTAGTTACATGGAAGGTATTACATAGTAAATTTGGTGTGGTTTCAAAGTTAGATATTAAAGCAGCAGTAAGCGATTCGGTCGTTTCCGGTACTTTTCCCCGCCCCCACGTCACACCACATGAATCTTGGTGCTGTAACCTAGGCTAGCCTAGCCGTGGCTGCTGCTGCTGTCTCACCTCCTTTCAGATACGCTCTCTTTATTCAAGGCTAGTTTTAAAACAGTCCTCTTTAGTTTAGCATATGGCTAGGAAGGTAAGACTCAGGGAAGGCTAAACTCCTCAGACTGTCAGTCAAGCTGCATAGGGAGTCAGTTTGCTGGGAGAAGTATGGTAACTTGAGCACTATCCTCTCCTCCTTCCTACTTTACCTGTTTAGCATTATTAGGATTTTGACTGTAGTTTGTTCATTGCTATTCACCCGTTGTCCCATTGTCTGTTTCATGGTACGATGACGGGATCTCTGAGCCTGGCTACACCTGCAGACTGCCCTGCCCGACCCGCCTGGGAGTGCTTCAGTCCTGCACCGGACCTGTCCACGTTCAGCGGCCAATGGTTCACATCCTGTAGCTAACTTAGGTCCTAGATCATTAGCCTGTCCGTCCGGAGGAGCGGATCCTTTTCTCAAATGGGTCTCCCTTCCTGTGGGTTTCCCTAGTTCTCCCCAAGGTTTCTCACTTTTTCCCACTGGGTTTTTTAAGAGTTTTTCCTTGTCGATGCAGGAGGGTGAAGAAGATGACATAGTCTGGGATCGCGTCTTTAATTCAGACAGAAGACATGTTTTATTGTCGATGGTAGAGACAGCACGAACAACACGAACACAGAATGCAAGTGTATTATACAGAGCGGAGGCATGGAGACCTCCAATCAGCAGCTGCCACGGTGCCATGTAGCTTGGCCTTCAGATAGACAAAACAAGGGAAAAGTACAGGCTTCTGCACATTGATAGAATGATAAGTTTAACTATAACAAAAGTTGCTTAAAAGTGTTATGAAATCTCACATTCCCCCATGTGAACTGGTCTACGACTTCAGTCGCAATAGTTCTCATTTGCCTGTCGTAATCGACAACTCCCAGGTGCAGATCGTAGAGGAGTGCAAGTTTCTGGGTTTAACTCTGTCTAACGACCTGAAATGGGTTAAAAACACTGACCGAGTCGTTAAGAAAGCTCGTCAGCGTCTCTACTTTCTGCGGAAACTTAGAGAATTTACCACTAACTCTAAGATTCTGCTTAACTTTTATCGCTGCACCATTGAGAGTTTACTTGTTGGTTCTGTGTCTGTGTGGTTTGGAAACATCACAGATAAAGAAAAGAGAGCTTTAAACAAGGTGCTCCGCTCTGCAAAGAGGACCGTGGGCTGTGAGCTTCCTGTTCTGGAGGTTCTTTATAAATCCAGACTTTTAAACAAAGCTCTTAGGATTGTCAATGACTCTTCTGGCCACCCTGGGAAAGCCATGTTCCAGCTTCTTCCCTCTGGCAGAAGATATCGCTCTCTGAGATGCAGGACATCTCGTTACGCTAACAGTTTTTATCCACAGGCTGTTATCAGTGTGAACAGAGCACTTTAATGATTTGCACTTGTTTTGAACTGTTTTAGTCGATCAATTTCACAGTGACATTTGTTTACTGTTTTATTTGTTTTATTTTTGTCTTTTAATGTTGTTTTATGTCTGTATTTGTCTGTGCACACTGGAGACTTTTGCTAATGTATTCCAATGTGTTTTTTTTTTACTGCAAATGGCAAAATAAACTGAATCTGAATCTGAATCTGGTCACACATTCACGTGTGACCATCAGGATCGATAAACAGCAACATAACATCATAACTCAATACTTCAAAAACTCATAAACTCGGTACTTCAAAAACTCAGAAAACTCATAAAACATGTTCAGATCTTTCATAAAACTTGTCAACAATCTTCAGTAAAATACCAAACTTCATCAGTCGATGGTTCCAGATATTGCTTTGAAAACAGTCTCTCCCACTTCTCCGTGTTGGTTTCTTTCAGGCTGCATTTGTGTCGAGCCATTGCAGTGAATTCTTCTGTGACGTGTCTTTCAATCACACGTTTCAGCTTTAGTGTCTAGATTCAGCAATTCAATTCAGTCCAAATTATGTCCAAATTCAGAAATCCAGATTGTTCCAAATCATGTCCAAATTGTGTAATCCAATTTTTCCAAATGGTGTCCATGCAAAAGAGGACGATGGTATTGTCCATGTCTCAGCAGCTCACAGCCTGACTGGAATCAGACTGGGATCAGGCTGTGCAGATTGTCCATGTGTGCTGATCAAGATGCATTCTCTTGAGGTTTCTCAGTTTTGGCTTAATAAAAAAAAAAACTTTTTGTCTGTTCTCTAGATGTTACAGACAAGGCCCGCATCCTTCCACCACCTGGAGAAGATGTGCCAAGTCTGGGATCGTGTCATAAATTCAGACAGAAGACATGTTTTATTGTCGATGGTAGAGACAGCACGAACAACTCGAACACAGAATGCAAGTGTATTATACAGAGCGGAGGCATGGAGACCTCCAATCAGCAGCTGCCACGGTGCCATGTAGCTTTGCCTTCAGATAGACAAAACAAGGGAAAAGTACAGGCTTCTGCACATTGATAGAATGATGAGTTTAACTATAACAAAAGTTGCTTAAAAGTGTTATGAAATCTCACAAGGGTCTTGTTGGACAGATAGTGTCCAACAGAAAGGATTGGTGATGATCAGGACACTTTAGCATTCTACAACATGTATGGACATTTTCTTCTGTGTGTGCTTTATATTTTTCATGTGTTTTAACTGTTGATTCTCTGACCTGTGTTGGTGGTTTCAATGGTTTTGTTAAGTCCTCTGAGATTACTTCTGTTGTGACCTAGGGCTATACAAGAATAAATTGTATTGTATTGTATGAACGTGCATCGTCCGAGTGTTGGCAAGCAGCAATACATCTCCGTCAGATCTACCCGTAAGTACAACAAAAACAAACACTGGGAGTGATAACAGTATGAATGTTGTTTGAAAATATTAGAGTAAGATAGATTTGTCATAACCTAGCTATCAAGCCGAAAGCGGCTTGATGTTAACCAGGATAGCATCCCTAAGAAGGAGATAGAAACTAGAGGTCAAAACAATCCAGTCTTTTATAGAAAAATAATGCTTTTCTAGTTGGCACACTGATTCAGATTCAGATTCATTTATTTGCCATTTGCAGTAAAACCACATTGGAAAAACTGTGCAAGACTACCCCGGTGTGCACCAGACAGAGGAGACGACACACACCAGAGCTCTTGCCACGGCGCCATCTTTACGGTGCCATGCGACAAACAGTAGAATAAACAGCAGAGAGCAATAACATACAGTATCACAGACAGTTGGATAGACACATTTGTGCCTTGTATAAAGCACAGATTTTTTCTCGGGATGAAGCACCTCCTACAGCCGCCCAATGTGGCTGTCAGAGGGGGGCGGGGTCAGGGAGGGGGTGAGTCGGAAACACAGTGAGGAGTGAAGGGGAGGGAGGGAGCAAGATGGATAGAGAGGGAGGCGGGGGAGACGGGATCCGAGCTGGAGACTGAAGTGTGAGATTGTTGTAGATGGGGACCTTGTTATTATGGCCGAGGAATGTGAGATAAGAGTGGAGAGAAGACACAGGAGGAGAAAACACATCGCCTCAGACAATATTCAATGCAATGTCAGGCAGATATTCTATTAAATCCAATTAAACCGAATTGCGGCGCCCTCAGACCCCGTACACAGGGGCAGATCCAAGCCGGGTCAGAGAGTTCAAGCCTGGCAAATGTCATTCAATCTCAACTCCAGAGTTTTATGCCCATCGAGTGAACGAGCTGCTGTTCATCACTTGTGATGAAGATAATGTTGCAGATTGCAATGTGATGTGTATTTACATTAAGATTAGTTATAAGTCAGTAACAAATTTCTGTTAGTGCATATGAATTAGATGAATGTAATACATATGTACATTACAACAACAAAGCTTTACATGGAGGTAATTTATTTAAAGCACTACATTACTGCTACTTATTTCCTCACAATTTATATATTTGGAGTTCTTTGTAGACAAACACTGTAGTAATGTCGTATGAGAGAGTAAAGCTGCATCTCACTGGAAGCTGCCTTCTCAATGTCACAAAATGAAGATGCATTAATTGATGTAATCAACATCTGTATTATGTGCTTATTGTAGAGAAAATGAAGTCAAAATCAAAGTGTATTAGAGGTGTACAGTGAGATGTGGGACTGAAAAAACAATTCCAGTAAAGCTTGTTGAAACATAAAAGTAGTGTGTCATAACTAATTACTTTACACTGACTGCTACACTGTAAGGAAACTTACTACTTTGAAAGCAAAGCTACAAGTAACATAAAATATATAAAGTGATTTGTCATAACAGTCTTTTCAGGAAGCACTGAACGCCCTCAGTCCAGAGAAGCTGATGACCAGGCCCTTCCAGACCTGGCCTTGGTGCGTCTGTGAAAGGTGCCAAGAGATGCCAACAGAAATTCAAAGCGTGCTGTCCTCAGCGGCCCCAATAAGATAAGATGTGCTTTATTTATCTCACAGGAGAAATTTACATGTCACATTTGGCATGGATAGAACACTCAGATTGTGCAAAAGGAGGAAATGTGCAAACATGTTACATGCAGGATATATGTACAACAAAAGTGACAAGTGTCAATTGGAAACAGTGTCAATAGTAGTGCAGGTTTTC